GCTTTAGAATATTAAAAATGTTAACAGGAAGACTTTGAGTCAGAATAGAAAACTTTTCTCACTGCCAAGTTCATGTAGCCATCCAGCTGGGTCAGCAGGTGCACTGTGTACTAGCCAGGTGTCAGGTACTTTCGATGCCACTGAGGTGTGGCAGATTTTGAAGGCCAGAGCTGCTGGGATGCTGACGCTTCAGGGAGGAGCTCCGAGACGAGGTAATTTAGTTACCCCATGAACTTAGCCCTGAACACTGACTCTGTTGAAAAGAACTCTCTGGTCTTTTTGTCTAGTTTGGCAGGTGGGCTAAGTGGCCAGAAGCCCCGAGTCTCATCCATGTCACCTATTTTGTCTCCTAAGTCGTCCCTCCAGCCTCTGTGTGCCATCTCTCAATACTCATCAGCTGCCATTTCTTTCCTGTACTATGACCTTGTCTCTTAGGGAGCTCTGTCACACCCACAGTTCTCTGCACCCCACTCCTCACCGAGTGGCTTTGAAAATAACAATCCAGGCATGTTTTAGACATCTCCAGTCTCTAGTTTCCACGGATGAAGAGACCCAGATTCTGTTATCGGTCTGAGAAGTATTGTCCTAGGAGCCAGCTCCTGTCTCTGGGATCAACCAGCTCCTCTGGTGTTCCCAGGTGCACCTGGCACCTGTTTGTCTGCAGACACCTGCTCTGTGCCCACCCTCCTTGCCATCAGCCCCCCTCTTCCTACTGGAGTCTCAGTTCCCTGTGATCACCACTCTCAGCCAGGGACCCTGGAGACATTGCTTCCCTCTTCTGCCCCCCCCCCCCCCACTGGCTTTATGCTGCTGGGCCAGCCATGTGTAGTCTTCCCCTGGCTGATAAGCCACAGTGACAGCAGGCTCTCCCTCTCTGGTCTGTGAACAGATGCCATTGACAACCACAGATCATTTAGTGACAAGCATGGCCTCACAGGCAAGCGGGAGCTACAACTGGAAGTGGAGGAAGGGAGACCAGGTAAGGCCCGAGTCCCTGCATGTGCACCCCGTCATTCCTGGGATTCCCATGTGCACTTGGGGTATGGCGGTTACACCTACCACTATCCTGCCTCTAGTTACAGCCTGAGGCTGTCCTAGCCGAGTAGAACCTGAGAGCCTGCGGCCTCACACACCTCTCAACTGCCAAGACTGGGGAGCAAAGTCATGGGGCATGCAGCTCCAACAAGGGAGCTGACTACGGAGGCCTCTGGAAGAACTGGTCCACGGCCCCTCCACTTCTCAAGAGAGGCCCTGGATGGCCTGGGATGCCCCCAGGCTTTCAGCCAGCCTCCTTGGCCTCAGATGGGTGATACAAGGGTGGTAAGAAAAAAGGGAATGAACACTGTTCTTCTCCATTGTCTAGGCAGCATTGATGGGCCCCTGCCTGAGAGCAACATCGTGCGCACCATAATGGAGTTTTTGACTTTCCTGCACCTTAAAGGTATGGGAGTATTTTTCATCTAAAATTGTATCTTGGGCTGCAGGGCATACCCATCCCTGGCAGGAAAAAATGAGAATGGGTTTCATGGAATGCCACAGGTAAACATCCTATGTTAGGACTCAAGTACATCGCACTCAAACGTCCTGTGCTGGGTCAACAGGCTGATGTCACTACTGAGAAGGGAGTGGAGCTTTGGGGGCCCCTATTTTCGGCATAGTGCTTTTCAGGGCCAGGTTCTTTCTACGAGCCCTTGAGAAGCCATATTCTGTCAGCACAGTGCTTGGCAGGTTGGCTCTGGGAGCTGTTTCTGTACTCAGCATTCGGCCATGCTACTGCCCTTCCAAGGGAAACTGAAGGCCAGGAGAATAAAACCTATAGGGGTGGGAGGCGGGGGTGGCACTTGGAAACATTGCTCAGAACTTGAGAGTACTTGCTGTTTTCCAAAGGACCCCAGTTCAGTCAGTTCCAAGTACCTATGTCAGGTGGCTTACAATCACCCATAACTCCAGTTTCACAAGATGTGCTACTACTACTACTACTACTACTACTACTACTACTACTACTACTACACACACACACACACCCACACACACACACACACACATACACACACGCGCACTATGAAGTCTTTCAAAAAGTAAAACCAATCAACAATCAACCAGGCCGGGGAGTGAGAGAGCTGATAGCCTTAGTCTCAACTCTGGGTCCCCAGACCTCTAGGGAGCTTCTAGGGCTTTCTGCAGATTTCTGGGTGACTGCTCCTGCAGAGGCACCTTGTCTCTGCCAGGGGTTTCCAGTTGGGTTTTTGTTTGTTTGTTTTTTGGCTTTTCAAGACAGGGTTTCTCTGTAGCTTCTCAGCCTGTCCTGGAACTAGCTTTTGTGGACCAGGCTGGCCTTGAACTCACAGAGATTCGCCTGCCTCTGCCTCCCAAGTACAGGGATTAAAGGTGTGCCACCACCACCTCCAGTTGGCTTTGATCTTGTAACACAAAGTATTTTTAGACACTAGCTTCACAACTCCAATGCCTACCCTCTTTGAAGAGTGGGAAGTCCTTCAGACAGAGGTTAGACACATGGATGCTATCCCCAGTTCAGGGTCCCCATGGGAACTCGCCCCTCTCCATGGGTACTAGCAGGATATTATCTCTCAAACTAACTACCTGACTGCTATTCTTCCTTATTCAGAGGCTGGGGCCCTTGACAGCCTGCCTGGCCTCCCTTTGGCCACCTCCTCAGAAGATCTAGAGCAGTCCTGAGACAACACCCACCGGCACCTGTGCCATGTCACTCTAGGCAGAATCTTCTGCTAACTCCTCAAGCAAACCCTCTGTTCTCTGCTGTGATACTGTGATGTTTTGGTTGGAGTGACAATAAAGACTAGCAAGTATCTGGGACTGTTTGAGTCTTCTGTGCTGCAGCCCATTACCTTAGTGTGGTTATTTATATATCTGTGTGCTCATGTTCACATGCACACGTACACACACCTTGGGTATTGAACTCAGATCATCGGGCTTGGCAGTAGATGTCTACCTGCTGAGCCGTCTCTCTAGATCCTCACCAGTGAGCTTTAAAAGCATGAACAAAGGCACAAATGGGTACAACCCCACCCTGGAACGGTGGCTATGGAGTCAGGAAGAGAACTAGCTCTAAGCAGAAAGCAGATACCAGAAGATGAGAGATGAGCACAGGAGACAGAAGAGCCCGGTACCCATGTGCTAGGCTGAGCTGAGCCTTCCCTCTGTGTCTCCTGGTTATAGGACAGGCGGTCAGCACTGGTCTACATGGCTGCCTATGTGTACCCTTTGCAGCACAGAGATGAGAGGAGACCGCAGAGGCTCCACATCAAGGATGACTCCAACCTCATGGTCAAGGCAACCCTTACTTTGCTGTTTCTGCAAGAGACACTAGCTGATGCCAGACATGCTGTCCCCAGGTTCAACCACTCCTCATATACTCCTGTGTTTCAGACCCAGCTCCCACTTCCAGTCCAGGTGCCACAGCTGCAAAGACTGTCTGCCAGAACTAAACCCTTACCCCACCTTTTCCCTCCTGTTTTCCCTCTTCCTCTTTTAAAAAAAATTCTCTCTGTGTGTGTGTGTAGCATGTACATGTGTGTGCAGAAGCCCTGGAGCTGGAGCTACAGGTGGTTGGGAGTCATTGGAAATCACCCTCATGTCCTCTGGGAGAAGCCATTTCTCAAGCTCCCCTCACTCTTCCTCTTTCACACTTAACTCTGACTTGAGCCGGCACCTGGACCCTGAGGCTTACACAAGACAGACTAGCAGGCCCTGCCCACTGTCAGGGGGTCTGCAAACCACATTATTCTCCAGAAGAGTCCCCAGAAGGATGACGTCTGGGCTGCTACAGTCAGCCCCCAGCCTGAAGCCTGTCCTATGTGGCATCTTTCTAGCTTTGCTCCCTCCAGTCCAAGGCTGTGACATCATGTGCCCCAACCCTAATTCTCCAGATCAGTAGCTGCAGCTATGCCAGCCTTGCCTCACCTTAGCCCTCCTTACCTTAGTGCCTCCTAATGTCTGGCAACCCTGGCACATGGTCCAGGAGTTTATGAGGCCATCTTGTTATGATGCAGCCTTCTCTTTTGGCTCCAGTGGTGGGGGCACCCTAGTAAAAAGCTGTTTCTCTAGTTCTGAGGAGCTGGCCAGCTCATCAGAGCCTCCTGAGCCCTAGGTTCCTGCAAGGCCATTGGTCTGAGGCCTCCAGGAGAGGGTTCCTGAAGCCATTCCCATGACAGCCCAGCCTCTGGGTCAGCAGTGCACAGCTGTCTATCTCCTCCTCTGCATCATCTTCTGACTCTAGATCTTTTCCCCATGGTGTGTTTGTGCATGCATTGTCTGTGCATCTTTTTAGCTCAGGAGCTACCTTTTTAGCCAGGGTCTCTTCTGTCTGGAATTTGTCAATTAAGCTATGCTGGCTGACCAGTGAGCCCCAGGGAGACTCCTGTCTCTACTTCCCCAGTGCTGGGATTACAAGCCTGTGTCTGGCTTTGGTTTGTTTTTTATGTGGCTGTAGCAGGAGTGGGCTGTGGGCTGGGTGGGTGGGGGATGTTTGTTTTTAAACAGGGGTTCTGGGAATTGAACTCAAGTCCTCCAGCTTGCACAACAAGTACTTTACTGGTGGAGCCTTCTCCAATCATTTCCCTCTCGTCAGTGAACTCCTGGCTCCCCAGACAACCTCCACCACTGTCTTGTCTGTACCCAGGTGCTTCTTTTCATTTCTTTCTTTTTTTGTTTGTTTTTTGTTTTTTTGAGACTAGGTTTCTCTGTGTATCTCTGGCTGTCCTAGAACTAGCTCTGTAGACCAGGCTGGCCTCGAACTCACAGAGATCCACCTGCCTCTGCCTTCCTGAGTGCTGGGATTAATTAAAGGTGTGAGCCACCACCACCCAGCTATGCCCAGGTTTAAGCCTCTCAAAGTGATGAAGCAGCAGTGCTGTTAGGAAACGCAGACTCATGAAGAGACAAGGTCTCAGTGGAGTCTAGAGAAGAAGCTATTGAGACAAATTTTTTATTTTCAACTACTAACCTAGGTCCAACTGGGAATCTGGAAAGGTTCACTCTCACAACAGAATGCAAAGCATGGGCACAATTGCCCACCTCACCTGCTGGTGTCTGCAAGCTGGTCACTGCGACTGTTTTGCTGGCCACAATGTAATAGTAATTGTGGAGATGAGGGTTGGACAGGAGACTGCTTTCTCAATTCAAGCAGAAATTCAGAAAAATTAGCTCCCACCTGACCCCCTTACCACACTCTCTGTCACAGGCCTGGCCTGGAAGACCCCTGCTGGTCACCTGATCTGTGACTTGGGGTACCTGCAGAGCCTTGCTCTTTGGAGACTTAAAGGCTCATAACAACTTGAATGGGGAAACTACTAAGCGATTTGAAAAGCGAACACATAACAATAATCAGAAAGCCACTCTTCTTATGCAGGGCAGGGGATCCCCAGAGGGCCAGTGTCCAGCCGCCAGGACAAGTCTGCCTGCCGGTACTTCAGGGTGGCTTGAGCAGGCTGGCTGATCCAACAGTGGGATGGCTCAGACCTCACAGTTGGCTGGCCTGGCCATGTTACAGGGGCCTCGTGCCCCTCCCGTGGTACCACCTTCCTAGGTGCAAACTCCCCAAAGCTGAGGCTTGCCACAGGCATCCCCTTTACCAGCTTGCACTCTACTCAATTTTCAGCCCTTTGGACTTGAACTCGATGTGGAGAATCTGTGACAGGCACCTTCCGAACTCCTCCAGGACCATCTGCTCGGCCAAGCTTGGAGAGCAGCGCTCTTGCTCTGCCTCCTCGCCCTGGGCCAGCAGGCAGGCACATGTGGCCTCCACTACTTCCCAGGAGATACAGGAGAAGGTCTGCCTGAGGAGAGACACAGCCACTCAGCGTCTTTACCATCCAGCCTGGCAGTGCCCAATCACTCTAGTTCAAGGATCAATGGTCTCTAGAAGGGACACCCAAACCACTTCCCCTTCAAGGCCCAGGAAACATCTCAGAAGATCCTGCACAGTACTGTCTTTCAATATTCCAGCATGGATAGGGGATGGGCTCATGAGGCCACAGACCTCTCTGAGGAGTAACTGGCAGTTAATGGCTGATGGGGGAAAGGGACATTTTCTTCAGGGATGTAGCCAGTAGTAAATGGTCCATACCCAGTAAATAGCTACACCCTCCACACAGGTGAGAAGCCCTAATTAAACACAAAACAAGTGAATCTCTCTCTCTCTCTCTCTCTCTCTCTCTCTCTCTTTCTCTCTCTCTCTTTCTCTCTCACACACCACACACACACAATCAAAAACAAAAGTGAGAGGAGGAGGAAGAAGTTCGGAAGAAGAGGGTCACAAGGATGGGGTGGGGAAAAGAGAGCCAAAGGAAGACTATGATTACAATGCATTCCATACAAGCATACAATTGCCAAAAGACATCTTTTAAAAAGGTGCCATGTGCTTTTCTGCTAATAAAAGGGGCTCTGTTTGTGCTGAGCCCACTGGCCCAGGCCTGTGTCCCCACTTGGGCTAGAGGGAGATATGTGGTTTTAACACACCAGAAGCAAATAACTAAATAAAAAAAGGTGTGAGGGTCGGGCTTGGGAGAGCAGCATAGGGACCCTGGCAGAGTATAAATGTCTCAGTGTGAAGGCCACTGACAGACCTAGAGGCTCATGTGCTTCAGTGGCAAAGTCACAGGTCACACAGGGCTTGGTGATGTCAGACTTCCAGACAGTGTACAGATGCCCTCAGCCCCCGGCATTAGTGAGGCTTGGTGAGAGTGCATCTCACATCTTTAACCAAATAAGCCTGAGTTCGGCTTTGCAGAATGAAGTTGGCTCATTTGTGATACCTGGATGACCACCTGCACAGCACTTAAAGGAATGCTCTTCCTTTGGTTGTTTAGGTTTTGGGGTGTGCGTGCATGTGTGTACATGTGTAGTGTATGGTGCATTTGTATGGATGGGTGTAATTGCATGCATGTGTGGAGGCCAGAGGTTGACACTGTGTGTCTTTCTTGATCATTCCTTGACTTTATATTTTGAGACGAATATATATTATTGAGTCAGGGATCCTTTGTTTTTGCCTCCCATACGTTGGGATTACAGGCACCTGCCACAACCACGCAGACTTCACTCTCAATTTACACAACAAGGCTTTACTATTACATGGTCTCCCCAGAAGGTCCACCTGATTTTCAAGGATAGAGTCTTTCACTGATTGACCTAAATAAAGCTCAGTGATTGGCTTGCCTCGCTAGTCAATGAATCAGGAACCCTGTCTTCATCCCCATCTCCCACCCCTGTACTGAGATTACCAGCATAGGTCATCAAGCCTGCTTTTTTTATATGGGAGCTAGGATTTGAACTTAGGTCCTCATGATTGCATAACAGGCCTTTACCTATAGAGTGACCCTTCCCAACCCCTAGGAATAATATTTTTAAATAGGAAAATCAAGTCTAATATATGATCAAATGATGTCTCAGCCCTTGGGAGACTAAGATTAGTGTGGTTTCAAAACTACTCAAGGAGCGGGGCGGTGGTGGCGCACGCCTTTAATCCCAGCACTTGGGAGGCAGAGGCAGGAGATCTCTGTGAGTTCGAGGCCAGCCTGGTCTACAAGAGCTAGTTCCAGGACCAGCACCAAAAAGCTACAGAGAAACCCTGTCTCGAAAAACAAAAACAAAAACTACCCAAGGGAAGATATCCAACCACAGTCCCTACCGCTAAGAGTTCAGCATGTGTCCAAAACACATCTGTACTGCTGCCCACAGTAAAAAGTCAGTAGTGAGCTTGGCACAGCTCAAGAAGAAAGTCCTGGGTCCTAGGTTCTATCCTTAGCCTGGAAAATGGACAGAGACAAGGAAAGAGAAGAGGAAGGGAATATGGAAGGGAGAGGTAGGACCCAGCATTTGTTGGCAGATTGAGCAAGACTCTGACCTCATTCAGAGACATCAGAATACCACTACTCCTGTGAACAGCCTGGGCAGAGCCTGTAAGTATAAACAGGAATACACAGACAGGGCAAAGGGAAAGAAAGGCCAAGATAAGAAGGAAGGCCAGTGTGTGTGTTATGCGTGCACTGCGAGCTCCAGCCAATGCAGATGTGGTTTCTAAGCCTCCCTCAGAACTTCCAGTCTAATTGTTCAGAACACCTACCTATTTTTTCTCAGTTTTAGAGGTCCTGAGAACTTGGCTGGGGACAGATGATGGTTACCTTCAAAGTCCCCAGCCTCCATATAGTGGGGTGTGCTCATCAGCAGTTTTCGCTCTGGGCTTTCTTCATAGTTTTTGCAAGCAATGCATTTGCAAATCGAAGAACACATGATTTTGGCCTGATGATAGAAAATGCTTTGTTGAAACCAGGGTCCACCCCCCCTCCCGCAAGCCACCCAGCGCTCACATCTACCTTCACCCATCTGCTTGGTCAGATTAGTTCAGATTAATACTAGAGGCTGTCACCAGCGAGGGAAGCAGGCATGGCAGCATTAAGGAATGGCCATAAAGCAAGTGCTCTAGAGGTGGAGGCCGTAGGATCATACATTCAAGGTCACCATCCTTGGCTAGGGACTGTGTTCCGGGCCAGCCTGAACTAGGAGACCTGCCTATAAAAACAGAATTGTGTCATAGTTTTATTTCCTGTTGCTGTGACAAAAATACCCTGAACAAAAGCAACTGGAAGGAGAAAGGGCTTTCTTTGGCACACAGTTCCTGGGTACCGTCCAGCAGGGGGAGGGAGTCAAGACCACAGGAGCATGAAGCAGCTGCTCACATGGGATCCACAATAAGGAAGCAGAGAGTGATGGATGCTGCTGCTGCTGCTGTGGTGCCACCCACAATGGCCAGGTCTTTCTTCCCACTTCAAAATAATTTCCACATGTATGGCCAGAGGCCTGTTTCCCAGGTGACTCTAGACCCCATCAAGCTGACAGCACCTCCCGTTCCCCTTGGGAAGGAAGGACGAGAAGCCCACTCGCCTCATAGCACTCGCAGTAGTTCTTCAGGCAGCCCGATCGCTTACAGCTGCACCCTTTGCTGTGTCGCAGCTTAGACACGCCCAGCCGGCCTTTCCCCATTTTCGGTTGGAAAGCTTCGGGATTTCTATCAAGACATGCCTAAGAGAGAACATGGGAACCATCAGGAAATGTGTGGGACCCAAAAGTAAGGCTCCACGAAAGGGAAGGCCACACTGGGGAAGTCACTGAGGGAGCTGTGTCCTAAAGGCACGCCAGAGGTCTCAAGGCTTCTGTGCGGCCATGCCACACACAGAACTGAGGTGCAGCAGGGCTCTAGAAGCACTGAACCCTTTCTCTGCATTTGAGAGCCACGCCTACGTACTGTAAGAATAGTACATGGTAAAAACAGTTTCCCAGCATGCCTCGCATCTTTGCTTGAAGCAGGTAAGGTCATGGCATAGAACAACTCACACCAACACCTAGCCGTCTTTCTCTGTAATGAATGTTGTCTCTCATTTCACTCTGTTGACAAACTTGGGAGCTTAAGGGGTGTTAGGTAGGTGGTGTGTACATGGCTCAGAAAAAGGGTGAGGCCAACATGACTCCTTCCAGTGGAGGGAACCATTGGTCTTTCCCTGTGGTGAGTGACATTCTGTTCACCCAGCTGGCAGTTGCTCCATCCCATCACTGATGGGCTGAGGGCTTGAGGGCAGCTTTTGTCTGTTATGAATGAAGCTGCTAAGAACTTGCTTGGCAAATCTCTGTGAGGATTTCCTCTCATTTCCATCAGCTGGTGACATCTAGGCAAACATGTCCCCACCTCGTTAGTGTTGGGATTAAAAGTGTGTGATCCCAAATGAGCTGTTTCTCTTTAAGACAGATTCAATCTTGTGTAGCCCAAGGTGGCCTTGATCTAACAGAGATCCCTCTTCCTCTGTCTCCCAAGTCCTGGGATTGAGGGTGTGCTACCACTCCCTGGCCTGTATGGTTGAGTAGTGTGGCTGCTTTGCCCTCTGATCTTCAGGCAAGCTTTACTTCTTAAAACACAAATAATATACCAGTACAGAAAGCTTAAAGTCTATGAGGCTCAACCAAGTGCTTCCCACCCACAGGTGATAATACTCTGTACCTCCTTGCACGGAGCTACCCAGAATTATGATCCCTGAGCCAAGATAGACTCTGCTCATGAGTCAGAGCATCCCAGACTCTGCTGCAGCCATGAAGCACCCCCGGTTGCTGGGTATCACTATATCTCACCCAGGTCACTGCATCTGTCTATGCTTCTGTCTGAATTGGACTCTGGAGACCGTTCACTGACAACACTGGTAAAGCTCTGTCAAGTGCATTACCTTAATGGCTTTGAAGCGCTCGAGCTCATGGCGTAGGTTGTTGCAGCTGCAGCTGTTGCAGAAGTCCCCGCTGGTGAAGCAGTCGCAGTATCTGTGAGGGATAGGCACAGGCAGCCTGAGATAAGAAAACGCATACAAAGACTGGTGACTCAGTTTAGGGACTTTCTTTGGACTTTTCATAAGAAAATCAGAATTAGAGGTGGGGTGTGGTGTCTACTAACTCAGAAGAAAGAAACTAGTAAAGCCATTGATTATAACCCAGGACCTGGCAAATCAGCACCATTTCCTGGAAGACACGCCATCCGTCCATCATCTCACTCCCTGCCCTCTGCTCTCCTCCACTCTCCCTGGGACAGTAGTGAGGGGAACACCAAGTGTCACACATTCTTCCCAGAGTGTGGTTTTTCCTTTTCGGCAACACTGCTCCCTTTGCCAACAGCCCTGACCTGTCAAGTTGGCATAGCAACTTAAGTAGCAGCAAAGAGAAATTGAGCATGGCACTCTCCCTGATCTCAGGCTCCTACACCCCAATCATCTAGGGATTCTTGTACAAGGTACTGGCATCATCAGCCATCAGTCTACTCCCATTGTTGCCTGGGAAACCTCATGGACAGCAACCACTTGAATATGGTGTCCCCCTTTTGTCAGTGAAGCACCTGCCTCTTCTGGTGCATGACAGCAGCCACCTCTACATCTACGTTGTTCCAGAGTGGCTGATGGCAATGTTTCCTGGGTCATCCTGCCCTGGTGCTTATGGAAAGGTAAAATAGTGTTCAAGGACATGCCTGGGATGTCCTGTTCCATGTTCCCTCCATAGTCCAATTTGGGATTCACAGCTCCAGGGAGAATTGAAGCCATACTCTGGGGGAAGCTCATTCACACCTAAACTCCCCACTGATGAAATCTACAAGAGAAAGCAGCCACAGAGTATAAGGTGAGCAGAAACTCAAGAAAGCAAAGTGACTCAGACAAGCTGGTGCCTCACAAGCCAGCGTTGTAAGCTCCACTCTCCAAATGGCCCTGTGCCCTAACATGTGAAAGAAGAGGAGTACAGACTTCACCCCAACTCTCAGGAAAGGGAGGCAGAAAGATCAGGAATTCAAGGCCAATCTTTGCTTCATAGCAGGTTTTAGGTCAGTTTGAGCTGCATGAGGCTGTCACTCCCAGCACCTGGAGGCAGAGTTCTAGGCCAGCATAATCTACATAGTGAGTTCCAGGACAGCCAGAACTATAGAGAGACCCTGTCTCAAAACCTAAAGCAAAACAAAACCTGCCCTGCAAACCATTACACTCATTGTACAAACCAACTCCCATTTCAGAGTGTGCCCCAAAGAGGAAGAGGCCCTCTGCCCAGTGAGAGGCCCCTTTCTTGCCCTGTGAAATGATGGGGCAAAGATGATCATGTAAGCAGCTGCCGTGTGTGAACTGTATCAACGACAGCCTTCAAGAAACAGCGTGGCACTACCCAAGTGCAGGAAAAACCATGACAGAGCTACAACAGCCAGGGGACCATGGACCATGCACAGGACAGCAGACAGTGGAGGGGAGGCCAGAAGCCACCACTGATGTACCCACAGGTGATCAGTGACCCTGCTGGGAAGGGGAGATGACCACTGATCCTTCAGCAAAGGTAATTCTAGAGTGCAGCAGGAAGTGCATCTTATACAACAGCATCCTGGATGCTTGCATTAAAGGGAGTAGCTTCCAATTTTAATCCTTACCCAGCCAGAGCTATTTTGGGTGGCCCTTGCATAGTGGGTCCTGAGGGGAAGGCAGCTCCATTGACAGTCGATGGGAGAGCTCCATTATCAACCTGGATAGAGGCAAAAGCAAGAACGGTCTCTTCAGTGTGTATGTGAAGTGTCAGCAGCAGCCCCTACAGGTGGATATCGCAATCCCATATCCAGGTCTCATAACCACAACAAGTCCACTGACATTGAGCCCATAGGCTGAGACCATCTCACAGCTATTCCTAGACCCAGGCTCAGGACCCCAGGATACAAAGTGTCTAACCATAGGGATGATGAGAACAGTCAGGGTGGGGTGGGGCCTGGGGCCAGCAAAGACAAGTAGGGAGTAGTACATACAGTTGTCACTTGGAGGCTGGTGACACTGTCATTGGAACACTTTGTGTCCACAAACAAGTAGTTGGAAATAAAATCAGTTACAAATGTCCCCAGACTAGAAGCATTCCAAAAGTACTACATTCTCAGAACAACAGAGAGACCTGGATATCTTAAATCTCACTGGCAAATATTGTTTATCTTTTAGACTTTGTAGCTGGACTCCATCCCTATACCCACACCTTTCCTACCTGACCAAAAACATCCCCGGCTGCAAACACTCAGATAGGCATCCTCTATTCCTTCCCCACATTTTGTTAGCACAACTCTCTGAGCTTGCGTTTGTTCAGGTGGAGGGCCGGCCATTGGGAGCATAAGGGACTCCTGGCTAATGCTGTGACCGACCATTGCCCTTGTAGTCCCTCATGTCCCTACTACTGATCTTCCATCTTAGTGTCTGGCACAGGTATGAAGGTACAAATACATAGTAACTATTTTACTATTGATTTTGACGTTGTTCTTAAGACAAGGCTCTATGTGACCCTGGCTGTTCTAGAACTTGCTATATAAATGAGGATGACCTTGAACTCCTGATCCTCCCATCTCCACTTCCCAACTGCTGAGATTATAGGCATGTGCCATGAGCACTGGCTCTCTCACTGTAAACTGTATAACCTGAGGTAAATAAGTGCAGCCAGGAAAATGCCAGGAGACGACATCGAGTGTGTTTTGTACTAAATGACTCACCTGTGTGATGAGATTTAATTTTGCTGGTACTGGCAGAAGTCTTCCCACTAAAGTTGTCATTGGCTTAGGGAGATCTGTGAGAAAAAATTGACATGAAATGGCAGCAAGGATTGAAAGGTGTGGGTCTACCATGGACAGGCAAGGCTTATCCTGATCTTAGTCTTTTTGTTTTTAATTTTTTATTTATACGTGTGTGTGTGTGTGTGTGTGTGTGTGTGTGTGTATACCACATGTGCAGATGTCCACAGAAGCCTGAAGAGGGTGTCAGCTCCCTGAGTGCAGGATTATAGGCAGTGTGTGAGCCAGTGAAGTGGGTGTGAACTGGGGGTCTCCAGATGAGCAGCAAGTGCTCTCAACTGCTAAGCTGTCTCTCCTGCCCCTTGCTTTTAGACAGGGTCTCAGAAAGCCCAGACTTAACTCACCATGCATGTAATCCTTGAGCTCTTGGTCCTCCTGTCTCTACCTTCCACGGCTGGGTCACACATGTGCATCACTATTCCTGGGTTTTGTGATTTTTTTCTATAGATGCTTTTGTGTTATTGTAATTTTTAAACTTATATTTTTTTTTTGCTTTTTTTAAAAATCATAAACCTGTTTGGCCTGAGCATTGCAGAGGTCTACTATACTGAAAAGATGTTAGCATCCAGTTTCCAAAACCATGTGCCAAGATGTCCTTACATGACACAGTAGATTCACTGGACACCTTGAGGCATTTTACATTTTCAGTGGAAACCTAGTGATTGGATCCATTTTGGATCAAGGAGGGAGTATGGAGAGAGTGTTAGACTTCTCTTTGCCCTGGGCTACAGAGACTGGTTGACTTGAGACTGTTGAAAGGTTACCTTCTGTCACAGCAGCTTGGGTCCCTGAGTTTACAGAGAGAAGCTCACTGCCAAGGCTAGGCTTGGTTACACACAGGCGCAAGACCACATCATTTAATCTTTGTCTAGCCATTCATCAGCTTTAAAGTGTGTGGATGAGTCCTTTGGGGGTCATTTGTTAATTCTGGAGTCAGTGTGAGGAATTGGCTGGGTGACTATCAGGTCACTGGAGTGTCCTTGGCACGCCTGATGATGAAAGCAGAGGAACGGATCGCTTGCCCTTATGGATCACACAGACTGTTTCCATTAAAACACCAGTCATTTAAAGCACATGTGAGTGGCCCAGCCTCGAGCCCCTGGGTAGGCTGATAACGTTTCAGGTGAGCCACCTCTGCCCTGAGTGGAGGAATGAAGCAGAAGCATCCTGATGAGAGCTGTCACTTGCTAGAAGGCAAGGTAGTGGAGGAGCCAGATAAGACTGAGTGTCATTTAATGTGCTCTAGACAGATTAGGCTATGGTGATCGATTTTGTTCTGTTCTCTGACTGATATTGTCCGGGTTTGCCCAAGCACTCATTTAATACATGACTGGCCTGTTTTACTGTCAGTGTGTGTGTGTGTGCTTGTGCATGTCTGTGTGGGGTTGTGGTGCTTCTGTGTGCACTGGCTTGTGGAGGCTGGAGGACTGTCCTGCAGTAGCCATCCACCAGTTTGTCTTTTTCTGAGGCAGGGTCTCTCACTGGTCCACTGGACTCTTGGTCAGCAGCCTGGATTGGCCGGCCAGCTAGGGACAGCCTCCTTCTAGGCCTCCTCACATTCTTAGACACAAAGATTAACACTCATTCACTACCCCATTCTTCACCACCTCTAGGGTGAGCCAGGGCAGCCTGTGTGCTGTGGTACCTGACTGTGGGAAATTGTTCTGGTCGTCATACTGAGGAAGCAGATGGAGTGCCTTGAGCTCCCTGGCGCCACAGTTGTCTATGCAGAGCATCTGGGCACCTCCTTTCAGCTGACAGATCACCTAGAACCACATGGTGAAGACGGTTAAGTGACTCCAGTTTGGAGCAGGAACAGAGGAAATCTGAGAAGACTCGCCCCTGGCAGGTCTAAATGTGTGGGGGGGGGAGGGGAGAAGGTGGTATGTTCTCTATGTCTTCCTCTACACTAACTGCTGCTCTCTAGCCCCACCCCATGTATTCCTGTGCCATGTCTACACACTCACAGGTTTCTACTGTATCCTCTGGAGGACCATGTGCCTGTGGAGAGGGATTCCTTTCTGATGGCCTTCAATCCACAGCCTTATGAACAGGGACTGAGCTTTTTCCCGGATCCCAGTTTCCCACCTCTGAGACCCTTGGGGGCTGAGTACATCTGTAGAATTAGCTTTAATTTGCTGGTTGTTCCCTCTTGCCACAGATCCAGGCTGTTATCTAACAGGTAGTTTTTATGCCCACTGACTTTATTTCCTCTGTGTCTTCGACCAGGCCTCATCTGGAGCTGCTGAAGGCTCTGAGGGTGCACTACTTGTGTAGCCCAAGCTCTGCTGAAGCACTGGTGATTCTATCACATGCCCTGAACAGTTCCAGAAGTACAACGCACACCACCTATGGCTAAGACAGGCATAGAAGGGCTGCCTGCAGAGCTGCAGAAGGAAATGACAACACACAGTCTCCACACCCTGTACACTATTGTCACTGACAACCTGGAGGTAGGCAGGAAGGCTATAGAAGCACAGACTTGGGCCAACCAATCCTGAAAGCTTACTTAGGCTGTCCCTAGACTATCCCTACCTCATTTCCTAACTCTGTACTTTACATGGGCAGTGTGACTTTGGTGACTCCCCTGTGGGGCACAGCAGTATCCCAATCGTTACTTGATTTTCTGAGGTGGGGCAGAGATAAGAATCTTGGGGGTGAAAGGTGAAAGATGGAGGTTTCAAGTTGACTCTCTCAAGTTGTAGATGAACAAAGAGCATTGACTTAGCAAGTCAGTGACAGGGCCCACGGGGATCTTACCATGGGACTGGAGTCTTTCTTCCGGGGGCAGCTGGAAGCTTCCTCTGCCTCCTGGGATGATGGAAACTTGCAGCAGGATTCCTGAGTCAGAGGGTTCTGGAAAGCCGCATCTTCGGGGTTGCTGCCTGGCACATTGCTACCTGCTTCCTTGATTTCAACCTGGAAAAGCGAGGTGACATCAGCGAGTGCAGGGATACATGCTACAGTGGCAGTGCACAGAACACTGAAGTCAGAGCTCTGGGTCAGCCTCAGAGCAAAGACTTCCCTGGTTCTCAGCACCAGAACCGTTGTCCTATGAGGAAGGAAAGGGGAAAGCACCTGAGCAGCCCCAGAAGAAGGCCTCTGAGGAGAGCCATCGGTCATGGGGTGTGAAGAGGACTAGCGTTAGGGACATACTGAGAGCCTGCGTCAAAAAGAAATAAACAGGGCCAGCAGGATGGCTCAGTATGTAAGAGCACCTGCACCAAGCCTGAAGACCTGAGTTTGATCCCCAGGGCACATACGGTAGAGAAAATCAATTCCTGGAAGCTGTTCTCTGACCTCAACATGCGTACTGTGGCACATGCAGCCACACACAAATGAATAAATCTAATTATAAAATAAACATGACAAAATTACATTTACTAAGAAGCAATGGGATTTAAAAGCTGAAAGGTCCCAATGGTTACAAAATTTAGATCAGACTCAAGAAGACTACAAAGTGCAGCTAGATTTTGAGTGACAGCCTTATTCAGACATTTCAAATTTTATGGAAATGCAGGTTACTTATACTTCTTTTGGGGGAGGGGCATGCTTGCTGCCTTAGGAACTTGCCAGGAGTAGTTTGCTGGAGTCTCACTGAAATACCTTCCCTGGACCCACAAACACAATTGCTGGCCTCTCCATTAGCACTATATATCAGAACCATTTGTTCCACAGCAGACTAAACCTAAATGCATGAACATGAAGGAAAGAGATTCCCATAGAAAGAGCCATGTAAGCTGGCCTAAGCCTGGAATCCTAGCCCCTTTGAGCTAGACACATGGGGGAGCAGGAATCCAAGATCATGTGTACGTACACAAAGCTCAGGGCCAGCCTGGGCTATACGAAACTGCCTCAAAAAACCACAAACAAACCAAAAGATCTACCAAAAAGACGTTAGTGATTTACTCTGAATAGTTACTGGAATAGAGACAACAATTCTACTTGTTTAAAGGATAAATAGACCTATGTCCTATCTTCTTTTAAAATAATGAATCAGAAAATAGTCTCAACATGTTCAAAGAGAGACTTAAGAGATGGCTCATCAGTTAAGAGCAATTGTTGCTCTCGAAGAGGACCTGGGTTCAGTTCCCAGCACCCACCAGATGGTTCACAACTGTGGGTATCTCCAGCTTCAGGGGATCTGACACTGTCTTCTGCCTCTGTGGGCACTGCATGAATACAGTATGTCCACATGTAGACAAACACATTTTTTAAAAATCTAAAATTTCAAAAAGCAGAGTGTTTTGTCATCCAATAATCTATAGCACCTGAATTACACTAAAAGAGAGCATGTCTTCAACAGTGGCACACTCTCTTCCCTGTTCCACTTAGGGGAGGGCCATCAGACAAGGTGCCTGGTGAGCTCCCACTAGGGTAAATGGACCTGCTGGCATCTGGAACCATAGGAAACTTGGGGAGGCCTCTGCCTCGGGATAAGGCTGGGCTAAAGTTCCTGTGGAGAACTTTAAATTAAGCAGGGAACAGCAGTTTTGGACCCTGAGCTCCAGCGACTGTGACTTATGCTGTACAAAGCCAGGCTCCTGTCATCTCCACAGAGATTCAAAAACTATTCCATGAAAGCTTACTCTAGACCTGACACACTTGACTGGATGAGGAACCAGTTTCCCAAGCTGGGTTCTTTGGAAGTTAACACATGTACTGGGCTTCCTTTAAGAAGGGCTGGGGATGTGGCTCAGTTGGATGGGTGCTTGATTAGCATGAATAAGGCACTGGGTTTGATCCCCAGCATTGTATAAACTGGGTGTGGTTGGGCACTCAGGAGGCAGAGGCAGGAGACTCAGGTTCAAGGTCATTCTCAGCTACTTAGCAATTTCAAGGAACAGTAGCTGACTGAGGAGTAGCGTTCATTCAGACGCCATTACATAGGTTTGAAGAACTGTCCCTTATTTTACAAAGGTGGAAAAATCATCAATTAGTGAACTCGTCAATAAATTAAAGTCTTTGGTGTGAGCAAGCATGTATAAAATAAAGCAAACCCAGACTTTTAGGACTAGGCTGAAGACAATCTGCTGAGTACGCAAAAGACCCTGGGTTCCATTCCTAACACCATCCGGGTGGGGGCGGGGACAGGGATGGGGGGGGCACACAAGTCTGACCGGCCAGGAATGAATGACTGATCCCTGGCTACGTGATGCTAAGCAGGTGTGTGTTCCGGAAGGGGAACAGGCTGGGCAGGGAGACTGAGGAGTGCTCAGGTGTCACCCGGGGACGCTGTGAACTTGCGGTCTGGACAAGACCCCGAGGGAGGGGGACGGGTGGGCGGGCAATGCACGCGGAGACACAGTGCGGCGGCGCCCCCTGCCGGCGCTTACTGGGATCACGCGCACTCCTGCGCTCATCGGCAACAGCGCGGGCCCGCGCGCCCCGGGAAGTAACGACGACAGCACGTGCACGCTGTAGGCGGGCGGCGGCGCGGCGTCGTCTGGGGTGCGGAGGTCGGGCAGCCCCGGGAAGTCGCCGAGCAGGGCGGCCGGTACCTCGGCGCCCGGCGAGGGGCTGAGCGCGCGCAGCAGCTGTTCCCCAGGCTCGGTGGCGCCCAGGTAGGCGTCGGCCAGCACAGGCAGCTCATCCCGCTCGGCCGCACCCGTCGCGGGGCTCAGCGCCAGCCCGTCCGTGAACCCACGCTCCTGCCCGAACAGCTCGGCGCCCAGCTCGTCTTCGGGGCCCGTCATGGCTCCTAGCAGAGCGTCCTCCATGGTCGTGGGGACCCGAGAGCAGCGACACGACGCGGCCGCCCAGCGGGCCTCGACCCTGACAGGTTGTGCCGGCCGTCGACCGTTAGGGACGGGGCGGGGCCAGGACTGTGGTGGGTGGGGCCTCGGCCAAGCTGACAGGAGCCTGGGTAGTGGTAGGCGGGGCCTTGTGGAGGGCGGGCTCTGCGCCGTGGTGGGCGGGGCCTGAGCCTGATGGGCGAGGCCTGGGTTGAGGCTGGTGGGCAGGACCTTTCTGTGTGCTTGAATGGAAGCTGGAGGGACTCATTCTCCAGGGATTAATCAGTCCTGCCCTCCAGTGGGGAAACTGAGGCCCCCAAAGTGGTGTTTCTTTTTTTATATTTTTCTTTTGAGAATTTCGTATTTGAGTACAATATTTACATTATTTCCACCAGTTTTTGATTTTAAGTCAGGTTCTTACTAAGTAGCCCAGGGCTGGCCAGGCACTCAGAGATCTGTCTGTCTCTGCCTCCCAAGAGTTGGGGTTAAAAGCTTGCTATCTCATCTCTCTCCCAAGATTATTATTATTAGAGAGGGTGGGGGTGTGTATGTGTGGGCACACGCATATACATGTGAGTGTAGTGACTGAGGAGGCCAGAAAAGGGTGTCTGATTCCCTGGAACTGGAGTTACAGGTAGTTGGTAAGCCACCATGTGCATGCTGCAAAGTGAGTTTGGGTCTCCTGCAAGAACAGCAAGTGCTCTTAACCTCTACGTCACCTTCCAGCCTATCTATCTATCATCTATCAATATCTATCTATCCACCTATTATCTTTTCCTCCCTCCCTCCCTCCCTCCCTCCTTCCCTCCCTCACCCATCTGTCTGTATATGCACAGTGCTGTCCCCCACACTGCCTGCTCAGAGGCCACTACTTGTCATATAACCCTCACTGATTAGTATGACACCGGAGACAGGGACAAATGCTGGAGTAGACAGGATTAATGTTTTATTAATGGTCAGCTACTTCCATTCACACATGCATTTCTAAGATTTATATCCAGACAGCATATGGTATTTACAGGCAATGGACAGATTAGGATACCGAATTCAAACCTTGGCTGCGGTAGGTAAGACTATGTTTTGTTCCTCATTAAATTAAATACATCATAGTCTTGCCTCCTTTCAGCGCGCAGTGAAAGCCCACCCTTCCACCCTGTAAGGACCAGAACATTGCATTGGTAAGTGCTCAGGAGCAGCAAGGACTGGAAACCTGAGAGGGGAATGTGACACCTGGGCACCAGCAGGGCTCCTGGGCTAACAAAGGTTGGTCAGTGGTCAGAACAGCCGAGTTTAGGAGGCTCTGACGTACTGCTTGCTTCTGCTTTTGTATTTATACTGCCTTTTGTTCCGTTTTTAAGAAGAAAAAATCTTTGGCCCTCTTAGGTGTAATTTTTTTAGATTACAAAATCTATACACACATATTCGTAAGACATGCATAAGCAGTTCTGCGTGCACCTCTTGGCATGGCTGGTCACCCTGACTTTTGTGTTACTGCTAGCACAGAGGCAGGAATTCAGCCAGGCCAGAGGGCACATTGGAAGTGGTCAGAAAAATAAATACATGATTTAAAACACTGGTAGCTAAGCTTGTCAGGACAGGGTGTGGATGTGGGGGGGGATCCGTTATGCTTCTGTTTACGAAAGTCCAAACAGACTTGGTGTGGAATTGCCTTGCGGTCCATCAGGCGCTTTCAGAAAGGCACTCCCACTGAGGGATGGCATTTGGGTACAAAGCACCCATCGCTTGAGACCCCTGAGTCTGTTGCCAAAACGATCTCATCTTCTATGGAACTGAGAGCAAGTCTCTCTGACTGGGTGGGATTAGAAGGTGATCCCACTGATGTCTAGGGTGTGTGTCTTCTGGCTGCCTGTGTCAGTGACCAGGGTCCTACTCTCCTCGCCACCAGCTGCCAAATATACCAAGCCACATTCTCCAGCTGGTCTCCAACTATAGAGTTGGATTCCCGAACCCTTGCTCCCCGCTGCTGACGCATGCCTATTCTGCTGCTCAATGAGACTCTAGCACTGCTGCCTCACCAGGGAGGGACCTGGTCTTCCGGGGTAGGGGAAGTGCGTACTTAGGGGCAGGCGTCCCTATGTAGGAAACCGTGAGGGGAAGCCACATCCTCACATATCCACCCAAAGACTTGACAAATAAGTCTCTAATGCCCCGCTTACCAAGGGGCTTGCGACTTTAAGGCACTGGGTTTTGAAGACGTGTGAGGATGGTGACATTGACAAGGTGGTGTCCTCCTTCCTGGAAATGTGGACTCCCAAAGGGATGACGGCTGTCACCCACAGCAAAACCTTAATCCCAGGCCCAAGCATTCCATTAGTGCATTACGTGTGTGTTAGCTGTTAAGTCCACTGGCTCCGAAGACAAGGTGACCTTTGCACTGCCTGGGTGGAGTCAGACACCCTCCAGACCCAGGTATTTATAAGTTACCCCCAAGGAAGTCTTGTCACCTCCAACACATGTGAGGCTACAACCCTAATAATCCAGGAATTCACCAGCATTTTAATCTCTTCATCCAGTAGGAGCTGATTCAAAAGACTTGAGGGGACTGTGCCCAGTATTCCAGGAGCCAGGGCATCTCTGGATGTAGTAGGGTCACACTTCACAGTGGGGCCTACTGTTGTTCTAGGGAGACAGGCGGTAAACCTTCTGGAAGGAAAACTGAGTCTTAGGAGAGCAATTTTCTGCCTGTCCTACAATCAGGAGCGACACCTATTCATTTGGTTTGTATCACAAGAGTCTGTCTTCCTTCCATGTGGCTCAGGAGGTTACTTTTTGGAATTGGTGGTGAGGCCAAACAAGGTGATAATGTCCACCATGGCGTCTTTCAAGTGTTTCCCGAAGCGGTGTGAGTCCTGAAGGAAACAGAGCAGAACACCACGTCAGCAGCTGAGGCTGAGGCAGGAGCATGGACTGCATCAAGTCTTTAAAGGTTAAATGAAAGAAGCTGGGGGATGGCTCAGTGGACAAAATGCTTGTGCAAACCTGAGGACCTGAGTTTGGGTCCCCAGCACCCATGTAAAAGCAATGCATGGCCTTAACCAGCCAGGGATGAGGGCAGAGGCAGCAAGATTTGTGGAAACCTGCTGATCAAACAGCCTGGGCCCAAACAGTAGCTCCAAGTTCATAGAGAGACCGTCTCCAGGGAATAAAGATAAGGATAGATGCCCAGTGCTCTCTGTACCCATGCGCGTGTACCACATACACACACACACACACACACACACACACACACACACGGGGCGGGGGGGACTAAAAAGGAATGGAGAGAGTCTCCCATTATCATCTGCCCCTGGGTTAGTCCAGCCTCCTGTCATCCCACTCTCTGAGCTCTGAGGGAATGACAGAAAGGGTGAGGAAGGCAGCCTGAGCATTCAGAGGGGGACAGCCCATAGGTGACTTGCTCTGTGGACAGATGGATAAGATCTGAGGCCCCCCTGTCACTGTTCTATATCCCAGGCTATCTTTGACTCTCAACCCTCATGCCTCAGCTTCCTAAGAGTACAGGATTCCTAGGATTATAGGTGTGCACCTCATGCCTGGCTTCCTGAACCACATTCTCAAGAACTCTGTGTCTGGTGGGGCTTGGCAGCCTGGAAGCTTTTGTAGCATTGACTGCATAATGGCTGATGCTGCAGAGACATCAAACAGGTTCCCAGGGGCTCCCTCAGACAGTGTCAAGTTCATGTGAGCCCAGAACTTGTTCACAGAGTTTAAAATAGGGAGAATGACAGAAACCCATACATACACATACAAGAAGACTTAAGACCACTGCTAACCAGTGAAAGTAGGTAAACGAAATAAACTTACGCTTTTCAAATGAGTGAAATTTATCTATATGAAAATAAGCTAATAAATGTTGACACCTCAACTGAATGTTTCTGTAAAGATGTGCTCCTTCCAAAACGAAAATTAACCCATTTCTGGAAAAAGGAGTTTCCCAGTATACTCACTGTCTCAGGGCTAGAGAACTTGGAAGAAATGTGGAAGTGGATGAAATTCTCTCCCACAATAATGTATGAAACACCATAGCCATCATCAGCAACCTGCAGAGACAGAGGTCAGTGTCATCACTAGGAAATGAGATCACGTGTATGGGGACTTCATGTTCTCAACATAAACTTGGGCAGCAGTGGGACCTCACTGCTGGATCCCAGCACTGGAGAGGCTGATGTAGTGGGGTCAAGGCCAGCCTAGACTATGTAGTAAGTGGATCTGAGGAAATGGGATGGGTTTGAAGTTAGTGAGTGCACTTGGCTATACTTACCGGCCCAAAGCCACCTCCACACGACACATACTCGGGATTTTTCTCAAAGTCAAACAGCTCCACCTGCTGCTGAGGAGTCTGACTTGTGGATAACCTCCATGGCTCAGACAAAACCTGCGACAAAGCAAGAAATGTCCGAATGACACTTTCCCACCCCCTTCTCCTAGTAAGCAGTGACTGTCAACTTGACATAGCCAAGAATCACCTGGGGGGACGGACATAAAGCATTCTCAGCTAAGTAACTGTGTCAAGCTGATTTGTGGACATGTCTGTGGAAGACTAATGCAGGAAGGTCCAGCTCATTGGAGGTGGCTCTGTTCCCTGGAGCTGTACAAGAAATCTAGCTGGAGAGGGCAGGAGACATGGATCTTGCAGGGGACCCACATTCGACTGCTAGCACCCACATGGTGGTTCACAACTGTCTGTAACACACGTGATGCACAGACATATGTACACACAGGCAAAACACTCATAAATGTAACATTTTATTTTTAGAGAAGCTAACTAGATGTGAGTCTGTGCCCAAGCCAGCAAGGAGCGTTCCTCCATGCTTTCTGCTAAGTTCCAGCCCTGACTTCCCTCATGATAGGCTGTGACCTAAAAATGTAGCCAGATAAACTCATTCCTCCCCAAGTGGCAAGTGCTCAGAGTGACACTTAAGACAGCAGCAGAAAGCCGTATAGAACACCCCTCCTTTTTGTTGCCTGAGGACCCCTAACAGGGAGACAAGGAAAGACCCTGAAGGCTGCACAAAGATTAAAGTGTGTGAGCAGGAAGCCATTCCCGTTGACCAAACCACCTCTCATTCGGGAGGTGGAGGACCGTCAGTGGGATCTGGGACAGCTTCTATGAGCCCACTTACAACTTTCCAAGCTGGTTGTTCAGTCACTATTCAAAGTCAGTATGGTGATACATACCTGTAATCCCAACATTCAGGAGGCTGAGGCAGGAAGATTGCTATTTAAGGCTAGCCTAGGCTACAAAGTGAGATCCTGTCTCAACAGAACAGGAAAACCAGGCTGAACACCAATAATTCTAGCTTTTAGGAGGTGGAGGCAAAGAGGTCTGCAGTCCAGGCTGCCTTGGCTACATATGTGTTTGAGGCCGTAGAGATGCTGTCTCAAAACAAAAAAACCACAACCCCCCAAAAACAATTCCAACAACAACAACAACAACAAAAACGCTAAGTTTTAAAAATTTGGGTGTAGCGGCACATGACTTTACTCCTGGCTACCTTAGGATGCTGAGGCAGGAGAATATCTGAACACAGGAATTTGCGAACATATTGGCCAATATGGTGAGCCTATCTCAAAGTTTAAAAAAATTTTAAACTCACAAATATTAAGAACAAAGATGAAGCCATGTGTGGTAATACACAACTTTAATCCCAGCACCTGGGAGGCAGAGGCAGGTGCATCTCTGTGAGCTCAAGGGTTGCCTGGCCTACATACTGAGTTCCAAGGTAGCCAGGGCTATATAGTGAGATCCTGCCTCAACCCAAAAAAAGATGGCTGGAGAGATGGCTCATTGGTTAAGAACCCTGGCTGCTTTCCCAGAGGACCTCTGTCCTTAGCACCCACATCTGTACAACTAACAACCATGTGTAACTTCAGTTCCAGGGGACCCAATGCCCTCCACTAAGCACAGTACACAGATATACATATGGGTAGAATAGTCATACACACAAAACAATAAGAACAAAACTGAGGGGCTGGGGAAATGGCTCAGTGGGTAAGAATGTTTCCTGTGCAAGCATGAAGACCCGAGTTCAGATCCCTAGCATCATGGAGAAAACAACAACAACAACAAATGGAGTAGTACGGATACCAGCAACCCCAGTCCTGGGTGTGGGCAGAAACAGTATTATATGGTATTGCTGGCTGCCAGTCTTGCCAAAAAATTGGTGAGCTGACCCTGGAGGTTCAGTTATCAAGGGAGTAAGGTGGAGGGTGATGCTAGAGATAGCTGATCTGGCTTCCGCATGCACCCTTGCTCACATGAGTGCACAGCGAACAAAGTTGACAGACATTCAGTGCTCAACTCTTCCTGATTATTTCCCATATTTCACCAGCACTCAGCTCCTATTGCTGCTGCGAGGAGGGCCCACATCAGCCTTTCCAAACTGCTGAAGAAACATGGTACCAAAGTTGCAGCTTGCATCTCCACAGGCCTATTGCCCTTTCACCCACGCTGATGCGCAAGGCTGGAGCAATACTAAGATGTTTCCGGCAAGCAGGCTGAGTGTGCAGCCCGGGGCAGGCGGCTTACCTCCTTCAAGAAAGGAGAGTCAACTGCCAGATACTTGGACACCACATAGAGGCAGAAGAGGTGACGGTCGATGCCGGCACCGGTCATGGCGAGGCGGTACAGGTGCTGGTGCTTCTCGCAAGCTATCTTGAACAGCTTGAGCCTCTGCTCCACCTAAGGGTCAACAGGACAAGAATATGCTTTGCATGGTTCTGTTGTGCGCCAGGCCACTTTCTCTTCAGTGGTCTGTAAAAGGCTGTGGGATGTGCCAGGGTCCGTGACCAGGATGTCGTGACAGAGCTCCGCCAGCCCACTATCCCTTCCCAGATGCTGCCGGGGCACCCTGTGTGGGTGTCTGCTGTGTACACACCCCTGTGAGGTAGCCAAAGCCCAGCTGTCCCTCAGTTTATTTTGTTACCCTCCTTGGCAATTCTGCTAAAATGGTACTGTGAGGGCTTCAATGTGACCCGAATGGGATGCTTCAGGGAACTGAAGTCGTGTGCTTGCTGCACAAAAGCACAAGGACCGAAGCTCGTTCCTCAGGGCTTGCTGACCAGCCAGTCTAGCCAGAATAGCAGTCTCTCCGGACTCAGTGAGAGACCTCATCTCAAAATAAGAGGCTGAGAATGAAGAGGAAGACACTAACACTGACTTCTGGCCTCCATTTACACTCACATATGCACACCACACATACGTACACAATCACATACACATACACTGCTTTAAGGTTCTTCTGGACATCACAACATCATCTGAGCAACATGTGCCCTTTACATGGAGGTATGTCAAGGCACTGACGCTCCTATGAAAGACCCGGCCTCTGGGTCATATTGAAGTTCTAGTGACAAATAGCATCACCTGCCATTTTTTTTCTAGAGGAAAGAGAGTCCTAGTTGGAGCTCTCTTGTAGCCTACTGTCTGCTGGTGGCAAGCACCTATCCAGGAGCTTGGGGAACTGGGCATAGATGTGAATGTGGCCGTGTGCTAGCTGGGGCCAGCAGTAGACTGAATTCATCTCAGTCCAGCGTCTATTTCTTCATTCTCATAAGGCTACTACAGGGCTCCTAAGAGGCAGAGCAAGGAAGTCCCAGCTTTGCCTGGCAGAGCGAGCAACAGGCTCGGAAGATCCCAGAGTCAAAGTCCACTGACACCAGTGATGGATGTCTGTCTCCTGTTCCTGCGCTGTGCCCATCCTCATGTGAAGGTTCTCAGGACAAATAATCTTATTCCCAAAAGCTCAGTGGACAATACTCTCTTTGTACATGTCCCTACTGAGCTTCTTAAATGCTTTCTGTTTCTTTGCATGAGGCGCTGGGGAGAGACAGGAGAAGGAGGGTAGAGGGAGAAGGGAGACGGATGGAAGGGCTAGAGAGCCTCATGGTTAGCTTCTAGGGTCTTCCGAGAAAGCACGCACCATGCTGTGTTCAGCCGTCATGACCTTACCGTTTTCGTGGGGTCCATCATAGCCATGACGAAGTTGCAGGACTCTGTGGTGCAGGAGCGCACAGTCTCTGTCCTACCCTCTCGGAAGAGCCGAGTCATGGAGGCCTCGTACGTGAGGCAGAACTTGCCCATGTCCTAGGAAGGAAGGGAACACAGTTCAGGGCTGACAGGCTGCACTGACCATCTTCGCCTACAGGGACAAGTGGCCAGGAGCGGGGCCAGGAGGAGGAGGGAATCTGCCCCCCCCCGACCCTTTATTCAAATTTAATCATTATGTGTTTGGGTGTGTTGCCTGCATGTACATCTGAGCAACACGTATGTGCCTGGTGTCCAGAGGCCAGAAGAGGACACTAGATCCCTGAGGACTGGAGTTACAGATGACTGTGAGCTGACGTGTGGAGTGCTTCTATTGAACCCAAGTCCTCTAAGCTGCTGAGCCGTCTCCCCAGCCCCTACTCTAAGGTTTTACTGTTCATTTGTGGACGTCTCAAACTCTTGTCTTGTCTATGACAGAAGCTAATGCTGAGCGGGATGTCACTATAAACCAAGGGTGATCAGCAGTGTGACTTTCCATGCCTCGGTACCTCAGAGACCTGGGCGGGAGGTGCTGGTGTTTGGTGTCAGGTGCTCTTCATTCTGGGCTTTCTACCTCCTCTGCCCACTAGGGAAACCGCCCAGATGTGTGTGTGTGTGGACCCCGAGTGCCCACAATGAGCTCAGATCCTCTCTTACCCTGTAGTGTGCCAGCTGCAGTGCCAGCTGGATGAAGGCATCCGGGCTCGTCCGGCACTTCTTGATCAACCCTTTGCCAAAGGTGTCAAATGGGAAGGAATGCAGGTCCACGTCATTTGCCAAAAGGCTGGCGCTGCTCAGGGAAGTCTCTATGACCTCCTGACACTGCAGGGAGAGGAGGCTCCACTCAGTGGGGAAGCACAACAGAACAAGGCGGGGCAGGACAGAACCGAGTTTGCAAATGTGCATTGCACATTCTCTGGGATGTTTCTGGAAAGGCTACCCGGAAGCCCTGTGAGGCAAAGCACAGCATCTCTACCTCACCCCAGGAGCAGTGGGGAAACCCAGTCAGAAACCACAGCCCCTGCGGAGCATGAGACTGCTGTAGAGTGCAGAGCAGTCCTTCACACACGACAGGCAACATCATCAGAGTGGCTAGCATTATGTGGAAGAAACTTCCAAGGCAACCCCTCTCCCATGCCCAGGCACTTGTTTGTAGGGTCTGGCAGGAGAGGGCAGCTACTCTGTGCCCTTGATAGGATGATGGCCCTACTCTTTAAGGGGAAGGTTTTCTTTGACGAGATGGGCAGCTTCAGGAGGGGCTAACAGGAGTAGCAGTGAAGGAAGGGAACACATGCCTAGCCAGCCAGATCAGATGAATTAACACTGGAGGTCACTTAGGTGACAAATGTCATAGTTAGATTGCCCTCACATTTCTCGTAGTCATTTGTATGTGATTCTGTCCCAACCACAAGTAGCCTTCTCATCCTGGAAGATGCTAGGCTATGTGGGTAATGGAAGGGTACCAGAAAGCAGAACTCCATGTGAGGGGCGATGGGGTAGCCATCATGCAAGCTGAGTCAGACCGTCTTCTGGCACAGCTGCTCTTGGGGTCATAGGCTCCTGGAAGCAACACTCACCCAGGCTCCATGAGCAAGCCCAACAAACTCAGACTTTGGTGGGACCATACTTTGATTTGCCATTGGGGTCTCCACAGGGAAAGGCTTCCCACCTGAGACTCAAGGGAGCTTCAACAATTGTAGGCCTGCTGCACAAAGCAAGTCATTTTGAGGAAGATATTCTGGGAAAGGGGGACATGAAAACATGTCTTCTGGCTGCAACAGGACTGGTATACTCACTAGCTCACAGCAGCTGTGGCTGCCTGCACAAGATCCAGCCAGTTAACGCTGCAGCAAGGAGCAGGGAGAGGCTCATGCAGCCCCAGCCTGAGCTGAGGCTTTATTGGCACCCATGGCTGCTGGGGATGGTAATGTCATTTTTCCTTAGGAGTGAGACCAATGGGAGGTTCCCTGCTTCGGTGGCCAGCCCATACCCATGAGCACACTGGGAGCATCAGTGGACTCAGTGGATTGTAGTTATTACTTTGTAGAGAATCTGGAGAGGTAGCTCAGCAGTGTGTACTGCTTCTGCAGAGGACTCGAGTTCCGATCCCAGCATCCTTATCAGGTGACTCACAACTACTTGTGGCTCTACACACATACATATACCCACAAGGGCACGCACACGCATAATTAAAAGTAAACCTTATAAAGACATCATGAAATTGAGAGGGAGATGTGTCAGGGAGGACGCAGGGGGAGTTGGAGGGAGGAGGGAGGAATAGATATTATCAGAATACATTGTTTCCATGTGTGAAATAATACTATTTTTTAAAGGACAATAAAGGGATCAGTGTTTGCCAGAGGTCAGGAGGGGGTTAGCAGGTGGAGGCCACGAACTATTTAGAGCAGTGACAGCTGTCTGATGCTGTGACAGGGGACACATGACACTGCATGACTGTCTAAACCTACACAACCTATGCCACGCAGGTGACCCTGTGTAAACAGGAACATGGTGATTTGCCAGGAAGCTTCAGAGACAGACCACCCTGGTAGGGATGCTGAGTAGGCAAACTGTGTGGCACCTAGGAAATACCCACATCGTCTTCTCAATTCTGCCAAGAATCCAATACCTCTAACATACGGTGTGTTGAAGAGACCCAGTGAGCAATCCATGGACTAGTCAGTTCCAGCCCTAGGCCAGACTCTCCGCAGAGGTCATGTTTTTCCATGGATCCCATATTGCCCTGGAACCTCAGAACGCTGGATCTAGAATTTTACTACATAAAAAAGTACTTCTCGGCACCCAGAAATTCCCACCCTAACATCCCTTCTTCCCAGGGCTCCTATAAAAAAATCCTTTATTGTCCTTTAAAAAATAATATTACTTACACTTATAAAATTTCACAGGCGTAAACCACATCTCAGAATCTTATGTTGTTTTCTGAGACAAGGTCATAGCAGTTTTCCTGTCTCAGCACAGGGGCTGGGATGACAGAAGTAGGCCACAAACACAGCCCCAAAATACATATGGGGAGCCAATAATGTTTTAAGTTTTAAAAATAATAAACATCGGGGGGGGGCGTAGCTCGGTAGGTAGAGAGCTTGCCCAGCTTGTACAAAGTCCAGGGTGCCATCCCTACAGCCAGAAAACCCAGGGTGTAGTCAACACCTGCCAGCCCAGCAAGTGAGTGGTTAAAAGTAGAAGCTTCAGCAGTTCAAGGCTGTCCCCAGGGACACAGCAAGCTCCAATCTAGCCTGGGCTACATGAGACTCTGTCTCAAAAACAAAACAAAAAAAACCCAAACCACTTAGAGGATTTCAAGTCAACATGACTTAGGGTTTTTGTTGTTGTTGCTGTTTCAAGACAGGGTTTCTCTGTTTAGCCCTGGCTATCCTGGAACTCATTTTGTAGCCCAGGCTAGTCTCGAACTCACATAGATGCACCTGCCTCTGCCTCCTGAGTGCTGGGATTAAAGATCTGCATTACCACTGCCCAGCTGTGACTTATGTTTTTATCTCTGTCTTCAAGGAAGTCACAAAAGCTCCGTGACTTCAAAGCTGGAATCCATACAGAGTCGGAAACTGAAGCCCCATTTCCCTCAGCAGCCCAGGCCCTTCCCATACTCTGGTCAACAGAGCTCAGGACCGTGTCAGGAGCACCGTGGGAAGACTGAGCTCTTCCACCCGGTGAATGATGGTCTCTGGATCAGCGGACGTACCTCTCCTGGGATCTCCCACTGTAGCCTGGTGGGCTTGGGGATGTTGGGGTTGGTGTCTCCCCTACAATGTCCATCCTCTGCATAACACAACTGGAAGATGTCAGTGGCCATGACATACTGAGGAGAAAGAAGCAGAAAAGGAAGAGAAAACCCTAGTGAGTATAGTGTCTCCTCCATGCCTAGCACAGAACACACCTGGGACCAGTCTTGGGAGCAAGGGCAGCACCTTCCCCAGTGCCCACCAGTTAGGTGGGTGCCCATTTCAGTTCAACCTCACAAAATAAATCTTAAAAACCCAAAACAGCAGAGACCAGGAAGCTCCCAGACAGCTAGAGGCCAGGCCCTGGGAGGGTAAAACTGTGGCTCTAAACCACACGGCAGGTCATGGTCTCAGCATCTCCAGTGTCCACCTGCACAGCCTTTGGGTGTCCTCTGTAATACCGGAGAAGCGTAGGCATTTCCCTGGATGCTGCTTCACATCTCAGAACCAGCCCTGTGGCAATGTGGCCCTGTGCCTTCAGGATGAAAGCCGGGTCCCCAGCACTCTCCCAGGCTCCTGGGCTCCATTTAAGAGCCTTAGTCACTCCATCACGTGGACAGAAAACTAAATGCTGATTCTACTAGTATCCGTGGCCTAAGATTTTCCTTCCTTAACCTTATCTTGATCAGACTTACTTTAAAGTACTAGCCTGAGAGTTGGAGATGACTTAGCCGCAGAGTGCCCTCTGTGCTCACTACTCTGACAGAAGTTTAGGGTCTGGTCCCCAGCTCACAGCCACCTGTAACTCCAGCTCCAACGGATCTGCTGCCCCCTTTTGGCTGCTGCATATACTGCACTCATATGCACATATACACACTAAACCTTAAAAATCAGAGAGACTATGTGGCTATCTTATCGACTTCTCTTTCTTTATCTCTTTTTTCCATGCTTTTGGGGTTTTGTTTGTCTGTTTTACTATGTGGCTCTGATTGCCTTCAAGTTTTCAGTAATCCTCCTGTCTCAGCCTCTTGAGTGCTGGAATTAGAGGCATATGCCACCATTTGTCCTCTTATGCAAGCTGCCTAGGTCCCAGAGATCTCCGTGACCCAACAACAGCTCTGTGCATGTGTTCCTGGGATATTCTGATGGGCACAGCCTCTGTTGGGCTGTGCAGGGCTTCCCAGGGACATGGCGGGGGCTAATGGAGGTGAGGCATCTGTACTTCCGGGTTGACAGTCCACACTTCTGCTGGCATCAGGGCCTGGTGGGGACAAAACCTTCCCCCTCCAGGAGGAGGGCAGAGCACGTGCATGAGCAGGAAGACACAGCATGCACTCTGCAGCTGATTTTGCACCACGGGAAAGAAATCCTGGGTACAACACTGCAAGAAGAAACTAAGACGTAAAGTCTTAGCTGGCTGTGGCAGTGCACAGCTATACTCCCAGCAGCACTCTGGAGGCTGAGGCAGGAGGATTGCCATGGATTGGTGAGATTCTTGAGAGACGAAGGAAGAGAGGGAGAGAACATCTCTAGTCAGAAATCTAAAAATTAAACTTTGTTGGGAGTTGTGGCAGCATTTAAAGTGCTTCTGATTTCTGTAACAGACACTTGACTGAGGAGCCAATGCAGACATGTCAGGTCTGCACCCTGGTCCCAAGGACAATCTCCTTTTCTTTTTCTCTGCCTCTCTGTTTTGTAGTTCAAGCTGGCCTCAAGCTTGACCCCGTACCTCAGTCTCCTGGGCACTAGGGGGCCAGTTATGTACCCCACACCCCCTCTGTGTTTCTGAAAGCTGCGTTGGGAGAGAGGGCAGGGGAGAGACGTGGTGGCCTTCAAGTAACCCTAAAGGGATTTTAGTAATTTTAATAAACAAATGTTTCCAGCTGGGGCTGGAGAGAAGGCCCAACAGTTTAAGAGCACTGGCTGCTCTTCCAAAGGACATGGGTTCAGTTCTAGGCACCCACATGCAGCTCACAACCATCTGTAACTCCAGTTCCAGGGGATCTGACACCCTCACATAGACACACATTTAGGCAAAACACCAATGCACATAAAATAAAAATAAATAAATCATCAAAAAGTAAAAAAAAAAAGCTGGGATGTGGTGGTATATGCTTTTAATCCCAGCACATGAGAGGCAGAGACTGTGAGTTTGAGTCCAGCCTGGTCTACAAAGTGAATTTCAAGACAATAATGGCTGTATTACAGAGAAACCCTGTCTCAAAACCAAAAATAAGGAAACAAAAGTTTTCAATAAGATACATCTCCTTAAAATTTTTCACTCAATTATTAATTTAATTATTCCGATGTGTGTGAGTGCTTGCATGACCCATTCAGCTTCTACCTTCCTGTCCAGAGATTGAACTCAGATCACCAGGCCTTCATGGCAAGTGCTTTACCTTGCTAGCATCTCTCTGGCCACTTGTACACTGCCATTTTAGAAGCCAAAACTTTAAGTCAGGCCTGGTGGTAATGCCTATAAATCTCTGATACTCAACAGGTTGAGGCAGGAGGATTCCAGGTCTGAGCCTAGGCAACTGAGTGAGTTCAAGTCTAACATGTTTAATTTAGTGAGACCTGGTCTCCAAAATATTGGCTGGGACTATAGACTTGGTGTGGAATACCGGCCTAGTGTGTGCAGCATCTCACACACACATGTGTCTTTCTGTTTGCCCTCAAACTAGAGTAAATGGGAAAACCAGGAAGTCTACCAGTAAGTGTGTTATTTCAGAATGACCCAAGCTGTGTGAGCCGAGTCATTGTGTGGTTTTGGTTCCATGAAGAGACATCACATGTGCCTATACCCAAGGAACATTAAGTTCCAGGAAACCAAGACTCAAATGCCTGTAACTTCCTGCATGATACCAACACCAGTAAAGAACTAAGTGCTGTGGTTTGAATGTAAGAAGTCCCCCCACGGGCTCGTGTGTTTTAACTCTTGCTCCCTAGCTGGCAGCACTACTTTGGATGCTCTGGACTCTAGGAGGAGTACATCACTGGGAGCAGGCCTTGAGCTCTACAGCCAGGGCCCTGCTTCCTGGTGCCCCCACATTCCACTGCCACACGGGGCTGGTCCCGTCAAAGCTGAAAGAAACCTCTTCCCCCCTTTCTCAGGTTATTTGGTCACAGACAAGGAATGTAACTGATACAGAGAAAATCAGACAAATACAGCCAAGTTCAAGTGGGTCTGGGCTGGGCTCCCCAATGCACCTTCCATATTCAGCAACAGGTAAGAAGGGCGTGGCTCACCTCCCACAGATGGCCCACGATGGGCGCGTCCGCCCAGGAGTGCTCAGCGTTCATGCCTATCTTGCTGTTTTTGAAGACAACAAATGTGAGGGACTTGTCAAACCACCTACAGAAGAAAGCATGATCATGGCTTCCAGCCTTACATAGACACCAAACTCCAAAAGCTGTATATGTGTTTCTGCATGGACCAATGACTTCTCCCCGCCCCTGACAGTGAGTTCTCCAGGTTTCTACACCCCAGGAAGGTGACAATAAAGGGACACAAAGGACACAGTCATTCATCTCTTCTTGTACCAGAGATAAAATAAATGCAACATGTGTGTCCTGGGACCAGCGTGGCACTGACTACTATAACATGGACTAGCACGTGCCCCTTCCAGCCAGGCCTGGGAGGCACTTCCTCACTTTACAGCTCTGGAAAGGGGATCCAGGAAGGAGAACCCCAGCAGCTGCACAACCACAACCAAGGCCAGTGCCAGCTCCCGGGACTGACCCCGCTCAGTTAAGAAGAGTGGTGGGGCGAGCAAAGGAAGGGATCTCAGCTCCTTCTGGCCTGGTCTGTGCATGGGCGAGTGTGCCGAGGGAAGCAAGTAGAGCCTTCACAGGACAACTTTTGTGGTGGGTTCAGACACGGGGAAGCTGCTCCAAAGCGTACCTGAGACATCTCCCACAATTCCCCACCAACCTTGAAGATAAAAGGGAGAGGGTACCTGTCAAAACATTTGCCATGCAGTAGAGACTTGGCGTAGCTGTCTAAGGATGCCTCCGGGTCCTCCTCCCTGTAACCCTGCTCCGATTCGTCCAATGTCACGAAGAATGCCGCCTTTTCCACCGCGTCCAGGGACTGCTTATTTTTCCCACGTGCAAAATAGGTCTGCCGACACTTTGCCCAGGGCACTCTGTGGCAAGAAATAAATGCATCTAAAGAAAGTTGCCCTGGGAGGGCAGATGGCTCAGTCAGTGGACAGCCGTGCTTGCTTGTTGGCATGAGAACCTAAATTTCATCCCCAGAGCCCATGTAAAAGAGCCAGGTGAGGCAGTACATGCTCACAATCCCAGGCCTAGGGAGACAAAGTCACACTCCTCAGGGTTCACTGGCCAGCCAGGCCACCCAAACTGACAAGCTCCAGGCTGGTGAGAAACTCTGTCTCCAAAATCAATTTGGATGGCTAGTGCTTGAAGAACAACACCCAAAGTGTGCATACTTGAGCATGTGCATGCATGCATGCATACATACACGCACGCACGCACACGCACGCACGCACAGATACCAAAGAAGTTGACTAGCCATGGGATTTTAATTAAATCAACAATAAATGCTCAGAATGTAGTCCAGCCTGTGTCTCCGGCTGCCAGGGAGGGGCGGCCCTTCCCTGTCCTGCAGATGCCACAAAAAATGCTGAAGGACCTAAGCCCTCGAACCAGCCACTGCCTTGAGCCTCTCTGAAGACATGAGTCCACTGATATCTTCAGCACTATAAACCCATCTTTCAGATGAGGAAACCTGAGGCACAGAGAACAGGCCACAACTATTTTGGAGTAGGGAAGAAGTGAAACCATCTGGCCCTGAACCCAGATCACATGATACTACCAAGATGACCATCCTGTGCCCACTGCACTGTTGATATTGGTGTAAGGCCCATGTCCCTTCAAAGACCCCTGCAGGAGCTTCCTCTCATTGCTCCTAGGTCCCTCACTTGGTCTTTAGCCTCCAGGTCTTCTGCTATAGCTCCATTGCCTGCCTCCACCCCACACTCTGGCAAGTTTTGGTGTGTTAACACCCACAAATGCCACATGTCCCCAGGGCACCCTAGCCCTCAAGGCAAAAGATGAAACAGGTTTCTTAGTCCCAGGCTCCCAACGCCAAGCAGCACAGTCCTGTTTCTCCCGAGTGCCCGGAGCAACTCCTGATTAAAGTGTTTGGCCCCTTGCCTTGGCTGCTGCAGCAGCTTCAGAGCAGCTCTGGGGCTCTGTGGAAGGCTGTCTTTTGTGAAATGTCTGCTACTTTTGGCTTCAGAGAGACAAATCCCCTCCCCACTTTCTTGTTCCACCTGCTCCTTACTCTGCACAAGGCAGAGCACAGGGCAGTTTCTCTTTCTCACAGTCACCCCTTGGATCTCTTGGAGCTGTCCTTGAAGACACACTCACTGAAGAGGGGTAGGGGGAGCCAGCCTAAGGCTCTGTGGCCATTTGCCATTGTCCTAGAACTGAGGAGGTGGAGCCAAGAGGATCCCTAGAGTGCACTGATTTGTCAGAATAGCCAATCGGTGAACTCCAGGTTCCTGGAGCAACCTAGTCTCAAAAAAAAAAAAAAAAAAAAAAAAAGAGGGAGAGCAATAGCTGAAGATCCCCTGCACGCACATACACTACTCACACACGTACAACATACAAAGCAAGTCCCTGGCTGGGGGCTCACTCAGTGGTGGAGCACTTGCCTCAGAAAGAGAAATCAAGAAATAAAGGAAGTTAGCTGGATGTTGGTGGTACAGGACTTTATCCAAGCATGTAGGAGGTGGAGGCAGGAGGACCCCAGTTTTAAGACCAGCTTCAGCCACACAGCAAGTCTGAGGCCATTAACAAGTATGTCCATAGCCCCACGCAAAAGGCTACACACTTGCACCAAGCGCCCTTGTGTTATTCCCTACCGCTACAGACCTGCTGTCACGTGCTGAATCCCACTGCCTGTATGACTCACATCCAGGAGCGAGACGTGACACCGTGACGGTGCTCTGGCTACTTTGGTGCTACTGCCGGTATCCATGGGATGGACCTTGTTCTGGAAGAGCTCCTCGGAGCACTGTGAAACCCAGACCCAGGAAGGGTTTGCAAGGCGACGCACCTGTCTGCAGCTGTGAGGGCGGCCAGCTTGGCTTCCCCGGGCTGTGGCTCTGAGGGGTCATCCAGGATGTGCTGCATCTGTTGCTCCAGCTCTCGGGGCCTCAGCAGCCTCCCATCATGGTAGAGCCAGACTTTGAAGTAGCGGCCCCTGTGGTACACGACAATGTGCCGGCTGTCCTTGATGTGCTGGATGGTGTCTGAGGTGGGATGACACAAAGGGAGAGACAGCAAGTCAGAAGGCCTTGGTGGGAGTCTCAGAGCTGAGAGTTTGGCTTTTTGAGAGAGGATCTCATGTAGCCCAGGCTGGACTCCAACTCCCTATACAGATAGCCAACGACAACCCTGGACTCCCGATCCTCCGGCCTCTACCTCCTGAGTGCTAGGATCACAGGTGTGTGGTCCTTGATTCCAAACTGAGTCAATCTTTGACCAAACCAATCCTCCGTCTCAGTTTCCTCATCTATGAAACAAGGCTGGCAGGCACGGTGGTTTGAACGGATGTTTCCCAAAGTCACGGGCATTTGACTACTTGGTTCCCTGTTGGTGGCTACCTGGGAAGGATCAGAGTGTCCTTTGGGATGGGCACAGCCTTCCTACCCTCCCCAGTGCGTGGCCTCGTGGCCTGTGCTTCCGGTGGGTGGAGAGGGACGCGAGCTCTTAGCTCTAGAGCCTCCCGCTGCTGTGCTCCTCTGTGATAGGGATGGACTAGATGCCTCCGGAACCGCCAGCTCCACACACCTGCTTCTATAGGCTGCTGGACAGGTATTTTATGACAGCGGGAAATAATACAGCGGTTTCCCCTATGAATGAACACCCGGTTCCCACAGAGCTCACGAGTCCAAAGCACCCAGGCCACGTGGTTCTATAAGAGGACACCCTGGAAAATGTTCTGATGAAGAAAGTGGACATTTCCAGCATGAAAGCTGTTTCAGGGGATGGAGGGATGGCTCAGTGGTTAAGAGCACTTGCTGCTCTTCCACAGGACCAGAGATCAGTTCACCATACCCACATCAGGTGGCTCACAACCGCCTGTATCTCCAGCTCCAGGGCATCTCACACATACATTTAAAGAGACAGACACATAAAAATAAAAAGCAAAAATAAATCTTAAAACAATGAAAAATTTCAGCCAGGCATGATGGTGCACCACCTGGGAGAATCAGTAGTCCAAGGCCAGTCTTAGCTACATATCAAGTTAGAAGCTAGCCTCGGCTACATAAGACCCTGTCTCAAAAAAAAAAAAAAAAAAAGGGGGGGGGGGGGGGGGGGGGGGGGGGGGGGGGGCGGCACGGAGATGACTTGTGGGTAAAATCCCTTGCAGCACAGTCCTGGTGATGCGGGTTTGATCTCCAGAACCCATGTAAATGCAGAGGTTGTGAGTCAGCCCCACGGTACTGTCACTGAGCGGCACATGAGCACTGCAGTGTGGCTGTGACCCTCCCACAATCATACACACAAACACAATGAAGAAACTTTAAAAGGATTAACAACAAAAAGGCTGGTTATGGCAGTGCACACCTTCAATCCCAGCAATCAGGAGGCAGAGGCAGGTGGATCTCTGTGAATGCAAGGCCAGCCTAGTCTACATGGGGGTGTTCTAGAACACGAGACCCTCTCAAAAGAGGAAAGCAAACACATTGGACAATTAAGCAGCAAGGCCCCTGGACACTAGCATGTGGCGTATATGACCCCACTAGGTGCAGTCCATTTTAATAAATTGTTTCTGCTTTTGAGACAGGGTTTCATAGGTAGTCTTAGCTGACCTAGAACTTACTGTGTAGGCCAGGCTGGACTCAGAGATCCACCTGCCTCGGCCTCCTGAATGCTGGGATTTTAATATTCATGATCATTACTATTAAAGACCATGGCAGGGCCAGCGAGGTAAAAGCATTTGCTGCCTAGCCTGACCCCAACACAGTGAAGAAAAGAACCAACTCCTCCAAGACGTCCTCTGTGGCATGCATCTCTAGAGGGTCTTTCAAATTTTTAAAAATTACAGTTACTCATTTATCTTGTGTGGGGATGCAAACATGTGAGGACAGGCATGCCACGGTACACATGGAGAGGGCAGAGAACAGCCTGTGGGAGGAGGTTCTCTCCTTCCACCACAAGTACCAGGCTTGGGGACAGGCACACTTCCATGCTGAGTCATTTTGCAAGCCCTGAAGGGCATCCTTGACTCCAGGCCCCTTCTCCTGCTCCGTGTCCTGGCTGACAGAAGGTAAGTGCTCTGCTCCCTCACATGTCCCTGCATCCCATGATGCTTTGCTCTTCCACCGCCCAGAAACAATGGACTACAGCCTCTGGAACCATGAGGCAGACTAAATCTTTTCTCCCATAAGTGGTTTTTGCTCAGGTATTTTGTCACAATGTTATAAGGTGACCAATACTGTACACTTGACCCCTGCAGGCCTGCATGGGACCAGCTGTATCCATTCTCCCTCTTTTCCAAGATGTCATAGGTTAGAAGGCAGACTACATAACCATGTTTCCCAGGCCAGAAGGCCAAAAGCAAGAATCTGGGCCAGGATCCAGCTCCTCAGTCATGAGGATTTTACAGTAAACCCGGCATGTGGGCCAGAGGAAGATGTCCAAGGGAATATTCCAGCAGGTCTGGGGAAAATGCCCATGAATGGAACTCTGAACTGAAGAAATATTAAAATCTGGAACTGACCCACTGTCTAGACCTAGGCTGGAGCTGGTGTTCAGTTGGTAGTGCTCTTGTCTAGTGTATACGAAACCCACGGTTCCATTCCTACACAACATACTGCAGACACAGTGACACGTGCCTGTAATCCCAGTGGGAGCAAGAGGAGCAGAAACTCAAGGTCATCCTCAACTATATATTGTTTTAGTCCATCCTAGAACACATGAGATCCTGTTCCCAAACCATGACCAACGACAAAAAGAGGGATTCCAAGAGGAGGAACATTCAGAAACAAGCTCTCAGGGTACACCCTGCGGATCCTCCTGCCCCCACACCCTGAGGATTCTCCTGCCCGACACCCTGCAGATTATCCTACCCCAATGTTCCCTAATGTTTCCTGGTTCTGAGCAGCAGAATGACTAAGTCCGGGTCCTGAGGGAGCCCTGGTGAGCACCACCCACCTGTCTCCTCCCCGGGTATACGGGAGGTGTTGAAGAGTCGCTCCCACTGGGCAGAGCAGAGCGGAATCGTGTTTCCCAGAAGACGAATCTGTAATAAAAATGTGTTTAAAACCAAAAGGCAAAAATCCCACAGGAAAACTTTAAATGGAGCTGATTAAAATGCTGCATACTGCCCAGTCTGACTTCATCCTCTCCAGCTGTCCCCTGGGGTAGCACCTGAGGGACCTGCTGAGCTGTGCCAGGGTACAGACAAACACGTAAGCCACCAGAGGTTATGAAAGAAACGCTTCTCTTGAGCAGTTCACCAGCATGCCTCTCATCCCCCAGGAACTGAACACAAGCACTCAGCCATCTCAAGTCTCTCACTGATTAGGCCTGTTAGTGAGCCCCAGTTATCTGCCTGTCTCTGGTCCCAGTGCTGGGATTCCAACCATTATTACACCAAAGCATCTAGCTGGGCGTCACTAGCAGTTTGTCACCTGAGCCACCTCTCTAAAGATCTGAAAGGACAGTTTACATACGGGCTTGAGCTCCTCACGGTCCAGCTTGCGACGATACAGCAGCATGGCATGGATAGTGTTGCCGGCTCTTGCCGCCTGAATGTGGGTTGGGGTGATGTACAGCATCTCCTGGGAGGGGGTGACAGCAGAGAATGCTCATGGGGATGGCATAGTGATTTGTACACATGGTGGAGGCCTCCATGACATCAAGGTGTTCCTACAGCCCCGCTCAGGTACCACAACAGCCTCGCTTTCTATATTTGCTTTAGGTTCTGGTTTTTGGAGACCAGGTTATATTACGCGCTCAGGTTCCTGAGAGCGAGGATGAAAGGCATGTGTTACTATGCCTGACTTTATAACTTAATAAATTATTTGATTTTTCTCATATTTGGACAGTTTTGTTACTGTTTCAGGTCCATTTGTGGGTTTTGGCAGAATTTTTTTCTTTATATCTGTGTGGTTAAGTGTACATGTGTGCAGGTGCCCAGAGAGACCAGAAGAGGACATCAGATCCCCTGCAACTGGAATTAAAGATGGCCTGAACCACCTGACATGTATGCTGGGAACCAAATCTGGGTCCTTTGGAAGAGCATCTAGTGCTCTGAACCTGCCATCTTTCTCGCCCCCAAGGAAGGCCTTGAACTCCATACATAGCCAAGGATGACCCTGAACTCCTGATCCCCTGCCTCCAGCTCCCCAGTGCTGGTCCCACAGGCTCTAAATTTGTTAAATTTGTTCTACTACCCCAGCCTCCATCTGTTCTGGGGCTATTAAATGCCAGCAGGATTTTGCTGGGCATGGTGGTGTACACCTTTTCTACCAGGTTCAAGGCCAAACAGGGCTTACTAAGCAAGCGCTATTTGCCGTGAATGTGCTTTGCAATACAAAGGTGTCCGTACTGTTGGGTAGAGAGCAGGGATCCCACAAGCACAGGGGGATCTAACACATGGGCCCCGGGTGGGATCTTCACACAACATGAAGTCATGGACAATGGACAACAGAGGCAGGAGCAAGAGGAGAAGAATCCACCCAAGCTTTCCCAGGCGGCTAGCAGCTCTGTCCAGCATGATGAAGACCCACTCACCATAGCGTAGTAGTTGCTGTTGACCATTAGCGGCCCTCGGCCCCGCAGGTAGATGTACTCCTCCCACCAGTCGCTCACCTACAGAGCAAACACAAACAAGACCGTGCTGAGCGAAGCCATGAAGCTGCCTTCCCTGGACCAGCCTGCTCTAGAAGTACAACTTTCTGGAAGATTCCGGCATATGACAGGCTCCAAAACAAAGCTGTCTTAAGCAGAGAGGACACACGGAGTTGAGAAACACACCGGTCTTAAGGGGAGACCTGGCTAGACAGCAGATCATCATTTCACAGTCACTTAAAAAGAAAAAAAGGGTCCGGGCTGGGGACGCAGTTCAGCTGCTAGAATGCTTGCTCCCTAGTGCTGCACAGAACTGGGCACAGGACTGGACACTGATGCACATACAGGCAGGGGGATGGGGAGTTCCAGGCTATAGCCAGTTCAAGACTGCTACACAGCAAGTTTCAAGCTAGCCTGGGAGCCACATGAGACCGAATGCATAACCGCTAAAGTGCCCTGGCTGGAAAGTGGGGCGCAGTGCTACACACTTGTCTGACCCAGGCCTCGGGTCCCATCCCCAGCACTGCAGAAATAAAAATAACAGAGATGACCCCAAATCTCCCCAATGACCCATCTTCCCCTTCCTGATGCCTGGGTACGTCCCAGAGCCACAGCAATAAGTCAGAGGCAGCCTGTGTTGTCTTTACTCTCCAGAGTGCCCACTGCAACGCCACCCAGCAAATGCCCATTCGCGGTCCATGCTGAGCATTGTGTTGGGGTGCACACCTGGGAAAGGGCACACACAAGAGTCTAGGTGTGCAGCAGTCCAGCTGGCCTATGATTAAAACCAGAACATGACAGCCCCTTATGGCCCAGGAGTCTTGTGGAGTCCTGCCCTCCCAAGCTCAGTGCCTGGTTCTGTCTGATCCTTTTCTCTGCTTCTTTCTGCCTACTTTCTCTGTTTGTTTTTGTCTATTTATTATTTGTGGTTTTTACATTGTTTTTTTCTTTTTTGAAACATGTAACCCTGGCTGTCCTGGAACTCCCTCTGTAGACCAGGCTGGCCTCGCACTCAGAGATCCACCTGACCTGCCTCTGCCTCCTGAGTACTGGCATTAAAGGCGTGCACCACCATACCCAGCTAGGATTTTTTTCATGTGTGTGTTTGCCTGCATATATGTTCTGTGCAGCATGTGTGTGCCTGGTACCTACTGAGGTCAGAAGAGGATGTTGGAGCCCCTGGCACTGGGGTTATAGATGACTGTTGAGTTATCATGTGGGTGCTGGGAATCAAACCCAGGTCCTCTGCAAGAACAAGTGCTCTTAACTGCTGAGTCATCTCTATGGCCTCTTGTTTTTGTTGTTTTGTTTTTTTGAAGCAGGGTCTCATGCATTCCAGGCTCTCCCTGAACTCTATATAACCACAAATGACCTTGGACTTTGATCTTCCTGCCTCTCTCTGAAGCCCTGGGAATAGTGTGTGCCACCAAAACAGGCGCAGTGCTGGGAATGAACCCAGGGCATTGTGCACCGTTATCAAGGACTCTCTCAGCTGTGTGTCCTTTCCAGCCCTTACAGTTTTGTTTTAGGGACTAGAGAGATGGCTCAGTAGTTAAGAGTGTGTTCTGATCTTGCAGAGAACCCAAGTTTGGCTCTCAGACCCCATGTTAGGTAGCTCACAACCACCTGAAACTCCCGTTCCAGGGGATCCAATGCCCTCTAGTTTCCACGGGCAACTACCTGCATGTAATACATATAAACTCACCTACGCACCTATATATAAATAAAAATAGATACTTTTTAAATTTAAGAGCTTTTCTTGAGATAAGGTCTCACTATGCGGTCACTGTGTGAGTCCACAATCCTCCCGCCTCTGCCTTCTGAGTGCTGAAATTATAAGTGTGTACCACTGCGTCTGGCTCACTAGATGTTATTTTCAATCCTTTGCCTCCCACGAAAGTTATTCTTTACATGTGGCCTCCTCCTCTTGGTTTCACACCCCTAACAGGCCCTCTTGCCCTGCCCAACAGCATACAGCTGTTCCCAGCAGACAGTTGCCACTGTCAGCATCATCTGAACCCTGACCAGGAACTCAGAGGGGTATGATACTCTGGGATGTAAAAGGTACCAGAGAAAGAGGAGAGGTGGCAGGGCCACCACGGGAGGAACAGCCTTTAGTGACCTGCCAGGTGAGGACTAGAGGCTCAAGGGCAGAGCAGCCCTGCCCTGAGGGGGCTGCAAAGGCTACTCAGGATCCTCTGTGTGAGGGAAAGGCAGCCAGCAGCTCTGTGCACAGTTCTCAGGGATGAGTATGGCTGCCCTCAGCTACTGTCATACTCTGTGAGCCCTGGTACCCAAACGGGAACTTCCACACTGAAACAGCCCACTGAGAAAAGATCTATGAGAAAAGATTTACGTGCAGAAATACTTACATAATTTGTGGCCCACCAGGATTTTAGCTTCAAATACCACTGCAATTTGGGTCCAAGATTGACTGCGAAATCCTCGGCCAGCACTGTCATGCGTTGGAAGTCTCCTTCCTTCATCAGCGGCCTCACAGATTCTAAGTACTGGAATTGAGAGAACACGGTCTGAGTGAGATACCCACCCCTGAACCATGGACACTTCACACCTCAGGAGAGTCACACCAGGCAGAAAAGGCTGGGAAAGCTTCCCTGAGTCGGTCTCCCCTCTCTACAGACAAGACAACCCTTGCAGGGATAAACATTGCTGCAGATGAACGGAAATCCAGGTAACTTCTTCCTCATGGAGGAGACATCAAGACATCTTTCAACCATTATTTGGTTGTTATTTCAATGGTGCCCTGAGAAGGGTAGGACAGCCCTGTGGGCCCAGTGAGGGTCAGATAAGTGTCCAGGCAGAGCAGGAACAGGACCATGGTTCCAGGGTCTAGATGCTCAGTTCGGACAGACTGACAGACACAAACCTTGAACATGTTTCGAGGTAAAACACACAGGAGTAGTTAGTTCACAGTCTTCTTTCTTTTTCTTTTTTGAGACAGGGTCTCATGTAGTCTAATTTGACCTCAAACTCACTAGGCAGCTGAGGCTGGCCTTGAACTTCTGATCCTCCTCCTTCCTCTTTCTCCCAAGGGCTAGAATGACAGGCATGTGCCCCCATGCCTGAGTTTTCTAAGAACCCTGAAAGCTCACACCTGTACCTGAGTGAGTTCCAGGAAGTGGAACTGCCATCAAATCTTATTTGTCAAGAAAGGAAACCAGGTCTGGAGCTGGGTGTGACGTAGGACACAGCACTTTGGAGGCAGAGGAGGCTTAACTGGCCTACCTGGAAAGTTCCAGGCCAACCAGGCTACATAGCAAGACCCTGTCTCAAAACAAACACCAGCCTGGGGACAGCAGGGTTCCCTAGGGCCTGCTTTGCACAATGAGGGGCGGGGCCATTCCTCAGCAGGGCCAGCTGCTCTTCTGAAGCTTACTCCAAGTTCAACATGGGCACTGAAACGGAAAGGCCACACTCTCCCAGGGCTCTGCTGGCAGATCACTTGCCTTGCACACACAAAGCCCTGGATTCTGTCCCCAGCACTGCAGAGAACTGAGTATTGTAAGATTAGCCTGCCATCCCAGAGCTCAGGTGCGGGAGGCAGAGGAATCGAAGTTTAAGGTCATCCTCAGCTACATAGGAAATTCTAGGGGTTCCAGACCAATCTGAGCAATGTGAGATCCATCTGGAAAAAGGGAGGAGGCTCTATAGACTCTGGGGTGAGCACTGCGCCATAGCAGGCAGGCAGCTGTAATTCCCCGAAGCCAGTATGTCTTTGATTTACAATTCTGAAAAGTGGGCAGAAGGCACAAAGTATGGGTGTTCTCCCAAGGTGCGGCCACTGAACAGCAGATCAGGCTCAATACAGAGTCACTCTCTGCTACTCTGCCACACGAAGTCCCACCCACGGAACCTGCCATCCAGAAGCAGCAACCACACCCACATGAAAACAGGCGCGTGGACGTTCCCAGCTTTCCTGCTTACGACACAGCCCACACCATCTACCCACACGATGAACGTTCTCAGCCACAGAAAGGGAAGCAGCACAGCCGTGCTGGGTCAGGGTCAATCTTACAATCATCCTGCTTTGGGAAGTTAAGACAGGAGAATTACGAGTTTAAGGCTACCCTGGGCTACAGAGTAAGATCATGCCTCAAAGAGAAATAAACGCTAGTGTGTGGGGGGAAACCCACAAGAGTCACCCATTACGTAACTCCATTCATGTCACAGTCCCTGACTCGGCAGAACTAGAAACAGAAAGTAGAGCAGAGGTTGGCAGACAGGCAGGGAGCGTGGGAGTTATTGCCTAATGGCTATAGCTTCTGCTTGAGGCAACAGAACGGCCTGACAAATCATGGTGGCCACAATTGCACAATGCCCTAGATGTAATTAGTTTTAATAAGCTTATACTTGAAAACAGTTAAGATGTGTGTGTGTGTGCATGTGTGTGCATGCGCACATGCAAGCACATGCACAGCCGCATACATGTATGGTGCATTCGGAGGGCGCATGCCCTCAGAAGCCATCCTTACAAATACCACCCACCCCTTGGAAAGAGGTTTTCAGCAGCCTGGAGTTAAGCAGCCAGGCTGGTCTCACTGGGCCCTGAGCCACAGGGATCCTCCTGTCTCCACTCCCCAGGACTGGGATTACAAGTGTGTGCCACAAACCTCGCATTTTTCTATGGGTTCTGATGAACCAAATTTAGGACTTTGCAAGGTTGCAAGCATTTTACTGATTGAAAACTATCTCAACTCATTTTCTCCTCTTTTTTTCCTGCTTTCCTTCCTTCCTTCCTTCCTTCCTTCCTTCCTTCCTTCCTTCCTTCCTTCCTTTCTTTCTTTCTTTCTTTCTTTCTTTCTTTCTTTCTTTCTTTCTTTCTTTCTTTCTTTTTTGAGACAGGGTTTCACTGTGTAGCCCTGGCTGGTCTAGAACTAGCTTTGTGGACCAGGCTGACTTCAAACTCAGAGAGATCTGCCTACCTCTGTCTCTTGAGTGCTGGGATTAATAGCATATGCCACCATGCCCAGCCTTTAAAAAATATTATAAATGTGGCTTTTGTATGTATTTGCCACAGTTTAAAATAATGGATGCACTCAAATTCCTGAAGCATGTACATTAAACAGGGACTCATCCAGTCCTAAACCGCATCGCAATAAAGGCATTACTCAAAAGTAAACATTCCCCAGTAGGTGGGATATGGGGAATACTGAGGATGCAATTAATCCATTACAGAAAAACAACATCAAGCTATGGATGGTAAAATATGTCTACCACGTCGGCATCAAGAGGCTAAGGCAAGAGGATCAAGGTCATGGGGCTGGAGGGATGGCTCAGCAGGTAAGAGCACTGGCTGCTCTTGCAGAGGACCCAGGTTCTATTGCCAGCACCCACTTGATGGCTCACAACTGTTTTTTAGCCCCAGTTCCAGGGAATCCAACGCTCTCTTCTGGTCTCCTTGAGCACTGCACTGCATACATATGGCGGGCACTGCATGCATCAGTGTACACATCTACACAAAGTCAAACACTTATACATAAAGGGTAAAAAAAAAACTGAAAATGTTCGAGGGCTTTGGTCCTCCCTCAAGGAAGTGATGGGACAGACCTGACTAAGCAGGAAGGCCTTACCCGCTCTGAGGAGTGGATGGGGGGGGAGGTGAGGGGAGGGAGAGGAAGGTGGGGGAACAAACGGAGGAGTGGGAGGAGAAGAGGAAGCAGGAACTGGGATTGGCATGCAATAAATAAATAAATAAATAAAGTTAACTATTAAAAAAAAAAAAGAAAAAGTTCAAGGCCAGTGTGGGTTGGTTACCCAGCAAGACCTTGTATGCAAAAACTACACATCAAAGGGCTGGGGCTATAGTTCATGGCAGAACCCTTGTCCAGCCAGGGCAAGCACTCTTGAGGTGGGGTGGCATTATCACAGGAACCCTGCAGCAGAGACTCCACCCACTAATAAAGAGGAAGGAGTGTTTCCACAGTTACAATTAGCCAGATGAATGGCTCTAAAGGACTCAGGCATCTCAGCACAAAGGTGAGACACACCTACCCGGCTCACGGTGTCTTTGACGGCTGGGACAGGCAGGCGCGGCAGAGACGTCTGGAAGCTGTACAGCATGGGCTTTCGGCCTGAGAAGACCTTGACCATAGCCTGAAGATACAAGTTACATTTCACAGATGACGCAGGTATTAGAGTCAAAGTCAGGGTTCACCTGCACACGACTGGCTGAGTGCTTATGGTGGGGCCATTCCCTGACTTACACCATCAGACCTCGGCAAACCAAAATAGTAAACACTGGGCTGAATCAAAATTCGGTCTGACAGAGGCTTCAGGTATGGCTGCCGACCGTCACCCATGGCCAGGAACCCTGGAGCCGACAACACCTCTGCAGGCGGCTGTCAGCCTCCTCCTGGGAGGTTCATGGTTTGAGGTTGGTGCAGGCTCTGGATATAGGAAGTAAAGCCAGCTGAGGGGTCCGCCCTCAAGTCATCCCCAGGGTAGGCAGTGTGTCCCTGTCCATCAGATGAAGCAACACGGAGAGTGAGCCACTTCTCACAGTCCGATGCAGGCCAGGTAGAGAAGGCCACTCTCTGCTCCTATCCAAAACCAGAACATCTCTAAGGGTTCAAGGTGTAGACAGTGATGATTCTCAGCACTCAGGAGTGCTGGGACTCAGTTTAACATCAGCCACGAGGACTGCTTAAGCCCGCCGGACACCATCTCTATCTAGGACTTAAGTTCTGCTACTCGAGGCATTAGAAAACTCACAGACAAGGTGGAAGCTGGTTTGGGAAAGAGTGGAGTGTGTGGTGGGTAGCAAGGGGACTCTGAAGGAGAAGATCTCAAGTGGGGATGATGGGGGAAGTGTGCTGGCCTGTAGGTCAACGTCAAGCTGACCCTTCCCTCCCCTTCACCAAGAAGGACCCCCGGGAAGAAGCAATTCAAAGACAATTTTACCAGGACCAGACTCATTAAAATCATTTACAAACCTTGGGAGCAGAAAATTAGTTTCTTTATAAAACAAAAACAAAATAAAATCAAAAAACAGAACTGCAGACCAGAAGCTGAGAGTGGTAACTGTAAGTGGGTGGGGGCACACGTGATAGTCACACTGCGGAAGGGGTGTTGATGCCAAAGACGGAAGCCCCAGGAGTGATCTCCACTTTGGACAGCCACCTTCCACCCCCACTCCAGAAAACTGAGCTTATAAAAATGAGCTGGAGCTTCGAACATGGCTCAGTGGGTAGACAGCTCACTGAGTTAAGCTACGCATGAAGCTCTGAAGCTCTAGGTTTGATCACTGGCATCTCGTAAAAACCAGACATAGTGGCGCTGCCTGAGCTGGAGGCAGGAGAACCAGAAACTCAAGGTTATCCCAGGCTACAGAGTAAATTCAAGGCCAGCCAGGGTGATGTGAGACCTTGTCTCAAAAAACAAAAACAATAAACAAAACAAAAAATCTCCATAACTAGTTAAAATTTGACAAGGCTCGTGCATATGGCAATAACCCTCTTCCTTAAATGAGGGTGCCTGGCCTTAGGGTCGGGGTGAAATGGAGAACACTGAAGGGTTAGGGTAAAACCTGTGATCTGGCCAGCAAAAGTGTCTTGACTACAAAACGGCCCAAGGCTACAAAGACCTGGTGGGTGGCACTTAGGTTCAGTAAACATCCTGAACTACAGGCTAAGCAGGTGAACAGAGAGATGGCAGAACTCCCAGAAACCATTAGCAAGCAGCCCTGGGCTCCACCCCAGTGTCACGGTGAGCCACAGCTCTCCCATAGCCAGAGGCTGGGGACCAGTCACACATCAAAGAGCAGAGCAGAGTGCTAATCAGGCAAGGGTCCTCCTCTGGTGACGTCACTCTAGCTAGTGACCGATAGTTACCATCCAGATCCTGGTGCTTCGGCTCATTTTGCCGTGCTCCGCGAACATCCAGCCGTGGTAGGAGAGCAGCACCTTCAGTGAGTAGCGCATAGTCACGATGACCGCGACCCAGAGCCCGGTGCCGAAGAGGATGCCGCTCACCACGTTCTTTGTCTGACTTGACATGCGGCCACTGTGGGAATGGACCAGATAAGTAGCTAGAGCGGCAGCGTGGGAAGGTGGCTACAGCTACCACCGCCACGCAGTGGGACCAAGCGCCTTCCCAGCGGCAGCAGAGAGCAGGCTGCAGCACCTTCAAGCAGAGCTGAGCTCATTAGGGAAGGAAGCCTGAGGGACCCACCAACTCTCCTAGTGCTTGTGCCATTCTCTGTCCCTCTCAGAATGGGCCAGCCTTGGCTGGGTGCAGCAGAGTGGCCTCTCTTGTGCAGAGGCCAGAGACCAGCCTGGGCAACGCACAGAAGAAGCCAGAGACCGGCTAGTGACTTGAGCCATCCTGAACAACACCACTTTCTCCAGCCTTAGAGGGCACAGCAGAGAAGCCCGCTGTGGGCAGAGACCTGCTCACTATGACAACTGCTTCAAGCGGGTGGGGACTGCTAAATGATGCTCACAGAGACCCTGGCCCAATTTCTTCAGATTATAAAGCTTTCCCCACCCCTCAAACGTACCTGTTTGTATTTGCTTGGATCTGCTGTGCCTGCAACTGAACTCAGGGGCTTCATGCTTGCTAGGTAGGGGCTCAAACCCTGAGTTATACCTCCGTCCTCAAATATAATTTTAGATGTTTTTATTCATAAGAAACTCAAATGTCCCAGCACCCTGGAGGCAGAGGCAGGTGGATCTCTGTGAGTTAAGATCAGCCTGGTCTACAAAGTGAGACCTTGTCTCAAAAACAAAACCACATCAAATTAAACCAAATCAAACAAAAAAAAAAACTACATAAAAATAAATAAACCTAGAAAAAACGTAAAAGATTTTAAATGCTTAAGAAAACAAAGTCACCGATTATGAAAGAAAAACCAAGACAAAAATGCAGCTATTTTGTGGAATTATTGCAGTTGTTTTGGAAATGGAGAAATAGTGGCAAAGTAAAAACTAGCACCCTCCTCTGCGAGGCTCAAGAGACATCAAGGAAGAAGAGGTGGAAAGGATACAAGAGCGGGATGGGAAGGAGAAACGCTCTCTGCTGCACATGAGAACTCGCTGAGGCTGTGGACCGAGGCCAAGCCAGCTGGATCGGGCCACACTCCTGCAGGGGCACTATTTAGACTTGGTGGATTTAATAAAAGAGTGGATATGGAGAGTTGGCATGGGTATAGTCAAGATACACTGTTGACATGTACAGAACTAACGTCAAGGGATGAATAAAAGATAGTCTATGATCAAAAGAATAGTATACATAACCATAAATGTTCTGATACTGGAAAACAATAACTTAAAGTCATGTAAGTGACAGAGACAAGTTTCTTCTCAGGTAAAACACTTATGCTCTGAAATGTATTTTCCCACAGTTGGTCAAACCCAGCATTCAAATGGCTGGAAAGACAGCTCATCAGTTAAGAGCATTGGCTGCTCTTGCAGAGGACCTGGGTTCGAATTCCAACACCCACATAGAGGCTCACAACCACCTGGATCTGAGGTTTCTTCTGACCTCCAAAAGCACCAGGTACACATATGGTACACAGACACACATGTAGGCTAAACACACATACACATAGAATAAAATTAAAAAGCTAATCCAAGCTGGGTGTGGTGTCATACGCAGAGGCAGGCAGATCTCCGTGAGTTCACAAGGCTAGCCTGATCTACACAGCAAGTTTTGGGATATCCAGGACTACACAGAGAGATCCTGTCTTAAAAAAACCATCCAAAGTTTAGCTGTGTCTTTAACCTCTTCTGATATTTTCAGATCAAAGCAAACAGAAACACAGCCTAGGGGTACAGGAGCTCAGTCCTCAATGGGAAGATGGTTCCAGAACAACCCTTCAGGCTGCAGGACTCTGACCTTTCACCTGGCTTTTCTAAATTTGGGCCAGGGATGACCCAGTTTACGAAAATAGATTCTGAGAGACAAAGAAACAAATCTTATAAACACTGAGATTAAACAAGGTTTTAGTAGCTGGCATGGCTGTGTGCAATCCGGCTTTGAGGCACAGCTCATGTTAACAGCAAAGCAAAACTGTTAGCCCCGCAGCTACCTTCAACCAGGCACGCTGAGCTGTTGGTGGACTTCCCTCACCGCTCAGGACCTGTAGGACTGCACAAGTCCAGTCTCCGGTGACCAGATCCACCAGCTGCTTCTGGTAACCTAGCCCCTGCTGGATCTTCAGGGCCCCAGGCAGACAAGGCCCTTGGCAGGAGGCCTGAACAGGCATTTTTATCTGGTCTCCTGCGGTTGCTTACAAAGGCATAACCAATGCTGCCTGGAGGGCTGGAGGCTGAGGAGTTGGCTGACTTCTCTGTAACTCCTGGGTGTCTCAACCAGAGCGCAGGGCATGGAGGCTCATTAAAGAGCAACCTCCAGGATTCCGGAGCACCTACCCAAGCCCAGACACCAACTCCTCCCGCTGTGAGTGTCCCCTGGGGCCACTCCGTCAGTTTGCGTTTGCAATCCTTTCTAGTGTGCAATCCCTCCAACTCAGCCACCAGGAAAGCAGCATCAGAAAGGCCCAGAGCAGGGCTGGGGATGAGGCTCAGTGGTTGGAGGGTTTGCTGCTCTTCCAGAGGTCTGTTCCCAGCATATGTGGTTGAGTGGCTCGTAACAACCTGCAACCTCAGCTCCAGGGGGCCCAGGGCCCTCAACTGGCCTCCAAAGGCACTGAACTCAATGTTCCCAGCTGAGCTTAGCCCTGACCCTAAACACTGTATGGACCCTTCGCAACTCCTGGCTAGAAAACAAGGCCAAGTGCATAGCAAGGACCTGGCAGTTATTGCTTCTCAGTTATAAGCCCACTGAGGACATGCTGTGAAGGACATGCGGCACAGGACAATTAGGGACAATTCTGAAACCACTTGCTTGAACCCAGTGTACATGCCTGTAGTCCCTGGAGAGGCAGGAGGGTGAAGTTCATCAAGAGTTCAAGGTCATCTTATACTACATAGCACCTCGAGACCAGCCTGGGATACTTGAGACCCCCGTCTCAGAAAAGAAAAAGAAAATGTTCAAATGCAGGGGTCACAATGCAAAGGAAACCGAGCCATGGTGTCCTGTGCCCTGGCACTCTACACCGAGAGAGTCTAACATCCTCCATCCTAGATGGTGCCAGGGACTTGCATGGAAGAACTGCCACCAGAGGTGACCTGAGGCTGGGGTATGGTTCAGTGGTAAGAGTGAACCTAGCATGCATTAGGCCCAAGGCTCCATGCCATCCCAGTTCCCTAGATACCTTCTAGAGCAGGTCCAGCATCTAGCAGGAGACCCCAGCTACAAAGGACCCCGTAAGAAAAGTATTCCACAGCTAGAGAGATGGTTCAGTGGTTAAGAGCACTTGTTGCTCCTACAGATGACCTGAGTCCAGTTTCTATATCAAGCAGCTCACAACTATTTCTGACTCCAGTTTTAAGGGATCCAACAGCTTCCTCTGGCCTCGAAGGGTACCAGGCACATAAGGTACACATACATACATGCATACAGACAAAACGCTCATATACATAAATATAAAGAAATAAATCTTTTTTAAAAGTTGGGTTTCGTGGGACACACTTTTAATCCCAGCACTCAGGAGGCAACAACTCTGTGAGTTTGAGCCCGGTCTACAGAGTTAGGCCAGCTGGAGCTATACAGTGAGACCCTGTCTTAAAAAAATTAAAAAAAAAAAAAGGAAAGAAAAACCTCAGGCCTTGTCACCAAACAGGATGCCAACAACTTTCAAGTTCCCATAATAAACTAAATTCCAAACCAAGGTAAAATGGACCTCCTTGGGAAATCTAAGCCACTCTGAAGGGGCCAAAGGCTGAAGTGTTGGCCAATGGCAGTCAGTTCAGGGGACCAGATCAGTGGACAGACTAACTTCAGTGGAATAGACACTGGGAGCCATCTTCTGAGACAGAGAAGCCCTCTGAGGTCACCACTGGCTCCATCGACTGCCACAGGTGGCTCAGGCTTTGGCCATTCTTAGCCTACTATCCCCAGGAGGGTGGCCGGGTCTACAGGTCACCCTTCCAAGGGATTTCACTACCAGGTCAGGAAAAAGAAGAGAACCCATGTGGCCAGGCAGCAATGGCCTTGTGGAGAGTCCAAAGCAAGGACAGTCAACAGGGTACTGTCATCTTCCTAATATTGAGGTGGGGAGGGGGTTAGGGAGAGGCAGTTACTCACGTGGTGTCCAGGGTCTGGTTGATCTTAGCGATCATGCCCAGGGAGGGGTCCACTTTGGCATGCATGGATGATATCACACCCACCACCACGATAAGCCAGCTGGAGGGACTCGCCGGGAACACACCAGTGATGATGCCATTCTGGAAAGATACACCGGCTGTAAGCACCACTCTCCTGAGGCCACCATTGCTGCTCTGCAGTAGCCCTGTGGCAACGGGCAGCTGGAACAGCAGGCAGCAGGGAGAAGGTATGGCACGCAGGCCACCAAGGACCAAGTGCCCAGTAGCTGAGACTCTTCCTGGAGCCACGACTGCCTCATCTTCATGCAGCTTCTTCTTTCTGAGTCCAAATGCACCCTGGGAGATTCCCCAAGAGGGACTCAGGGGCGGCAGGAACACTAGGCCCGACTTACCATACAGATCCCTATATGGTGACAGCCTGGGCACCATGAGGTCCCACTCCCAGTCTGCCACTATCTGGCAGTCAGGGACCCCAGCTCCCAAATTCCCTTTGCCCTGTCCAACCACTGAGCCTCATCCCCAGCCCTGCTCTGGGCCTTTCTGATGCTGCTTTCCTGGTGGCTGAGATGGAGGGATTGCACACTAGAAAGGATTGCAAACGCAAACTGACGGAGTGGCCCCAGGGGACACTCACAGCCGGGGGAGTTGGTGTCTGGGCTAGGGTAGGTGCTCCGGAATCCTGGAGGTTGCTCTTTAATGAGCCTCCATGCCCTGCGCTCTGGTTGAGACACCCAGGAGTTATAGAGAAGTCAGCCAACTCCTCAGCCTCCAGCCCTCCAGGCAGCAAAACAAAGTTTAAAGTAAAATTTCTGCTGTATTGATCCACTGTGCATGAGTGGATGCAAGGACACCATGTTGCAAAGGTGGAGATCAGAAGACAGCGTGTGACAATCAGTTCTCTTTCTAGCTGGTAGAACTTTGGGTCAAACTCAGGTCATCAGGCAGGGCTGCAATCTCACCCAGGTAACTCAAAACTCTGTCTAAGGAAGAGAGGTTGGGGGAGAAGGCTATCAAGTGAGACCCTAACTCAACAACAGCAATTCTCCAAGCACTGTGAGGACTCACATGTCTTCCCAGAACTTGAGAGGCGAAGAAAGGAAAACTGCCTGAAGTTACAGACCAGCCTGGGTTACAGGGTCAGATTTTATCTCAGAAAAGCAAAACAGGGCTGGAGAGACAGCTCGGGGTAAAAGCACCTGCCACACAAGCTGGAGGAAGGACCAGTGTTTAGATCTCTAGAATCAATGCAAAAAGCCAGGCAGGAGTGGCACCCACGTGTAACCCCAGGACTCCAGAGACAAGCTGGCTAGCAAGACCAGCCAGGTTCTAGACCAACCAGGCTATATACTACCCAGGTTCTAGACCAGTCAGGTTCTAGACTAGCCAGGCTCTAGACCAACCAGGCTCTAGACCACCCAGGATCAGTGAGCTCATGATCAGTCTCAATATATAAAGTAGAGAGTTATAGAGGAAGACACCCAATATAAAGGTCAGGCCTATACACACACATACACACATACACACACACACACACTATGTATACACACAGGCAAACAAACAAAGAAGAAAAACCCTTCTTGGAGCTAGAGATAGCTCTGTAGTTAAGAACACTCGCTCTTATAGCAGACCTGAATTCAATCCCCAACACCCATGTCAGGCAACCACCTGTAACTCCAGCTCCAGGGGATCCAATGCCTCTGGTCTCTCCAGTTACCTGCAACTAACATAAGCCCTCCCATACCCAGATTATTATTTTTAATTAGGTGTATTCCATAATAAAGGATACATATAATTAAAATAAATCTCTTTTTTAAAAAGAAAAATAAAATCACACTTGTGATCTCCACACTTAGCAGGTAGAGGCAGAAGGATCAAGAATTCACAACTATCCCTCATTACACATTCTGTTTGAGGCCACCCTGATTACATGAGATCCTGTGTCACAAAAGCCAGGGCTCTCAGAGGTCCGTGCGCTGCTACCCCTGTCAATCTAGCACTTTGGAGCCTGAGGCAGGATGACTATTGTAATTTCAAGGCCATCCTGGGCTAGAATGAGACCCTTTCTAAAAAAATACAAGCATAAATAAGTAAATAAATAACTCAATAGAGTTAAAAATAAGTAAATAAGCTAGTCATGGTGATATGTGCCTGCAACCCCAGCATTTGGGAAGCAGAGGCAGGCAGATCTCTGAGTCCCAGCAAACACTGCAGGGGACAGCCAACCAACCTTGAATCGGATGAACTTCTTCTTCCAGGAATGCAGTCCCGACAAGCATATCTGTTTGAGGGCTTCATGGCTCAGGCGGAGGTCGATGCCATCGGGGGTGACAGTGAACTGGAAGGCCACAGCTTGATGAGCTTCTGCCATCTTTGAGTACCTGGAGCAGGGACAGAAATGGCTTAGAGAGGCCTGACAGCAGAAACCAGCGCCTCCAGCAGATGGAGCATCCAGATTTAACCCTGTGACTTAAGCGACTCATATACGTCTCCATTGCTGTCCCTCACTCCACGCTTCTCACCTGTCCAGCTCCGCACAGCCTTGAGGTGACGGTGTGGGCCCATGTTACCACCACCCCATGTCCTCTGCACATCCCACAGACCACACCCTCAAAGGCATCCTCAGCCAGCACGACAAGGACACTGGTGGCCAGGTATCGACCTGCACTGTGGAGATGACTCTTCTTACAGCCCATCCCAGAAGCTGTCATGGGAACTCCAGGAGCAGCAACAAACGAGTCCCCAGCAGCCCTGAACCCTGACCTTTGGGCCTGACTACTGCACCCCCAACGTCAGAGAAGACCACAAAGACCTCGCGACAGGAGATGAGATGGCTGGGCTGGAAAAGCCCTTCCCTCCAGACTGGCAAGATAAACTCAACCCCAGAACACAAGCAAAGGTGGAAGGAGAGGACCAGTTCCACAAAGTTGTCCTCCGGCTTTCTCACACACTGTGCAGTGCACGCTCTCTCCCAACATACAGAATAAATAAAAATACTTTCTACACTGGGCTATGGTGGAGCACGCCTTTAATCTCAGCTCTCGGGAAGCAGAGGCAAGTGGATTGCTGAGGATGAGGAAGTTCCAAGACAGCCAGGGCTACACAGAAAAACACAGAGAAACACTGTCTCAAAGTAATGAGAACAAAAACAAAACAAAACAAACAAGAAACTTAAGAAAAAAAGAACAACTCCACCATCATCCCACAAGCTACACAGACCTTAACTAATCCTGATCCTCTGAGGTCATTCCTAAAGTCAAACTTGCCTTAGCACCCATGTATGGGGCCTTCATCATACCTGCACAAAACATGGCCTCTTCTGTGCTAGTCTGTCCAGCCCCACTCACTATAGGAAATCTTTAAAAAATCTCTAGGAGGCCTGGAGAGATGGTTCAGTGGTTAGGAACACTGCCTGCTCTTCCAAAGGTCCTGAGTTCGGTTCCCAGCAACCACATGGTGGCTCACAACCATCTGTAATGAGGTCTGGTGCCCTCTTCTGGCCTTCAGGCATACACACAGACAGAATATTGAACATATAATAAATAAATATTTTAAAAAATAAAAAAATCTATAGGCTATGTCTGAGTGACTAGCATGTGTAAAGCCCAAGTTAGAGTACCAGCACAAAAAAAAAAAAAAAAAAAAAAGAGAGAAGAGCTGGCTGGAAGAGTGTTCCCACTCTTGCAGAGAACCAGAGTCCCATTCCCAGAACCCAAGTCAAGCAGCTCACTGCCACCTGTAAGTCCAGCTCCAGGAGAGCTGAGGCCCTCATCTGGCCTCTGCGGGTACTGTACTCACACGTACATATACACACGGAATAGGTTAATACACATAAACAACAAACAAGAGGGAACTACAATATGCTCTTTCCCTCTCTTCTTCTGTCTAAGCCAGCCCACTCCCACTCAACAGAAGGGTCACCTCTTGCCTTCCTGGTTCTCTCAGTCCCCCAGCAGCTGCCTGAGGAGTCCCCTCTTCTGAAGGTGTGCAACCCATTTCCCAGAGCTGTTAGTTACAAAGCACTAAGTGTGTGTGTATACACACACACACATATATGTATATATACATATATTTAAAGGTAAGAGGTAATAACTATGCAGAACCATAATAAAATCTAATTTATGGGGGTGTTCTTATCATATAGTAACTTTCCACAAGGCCGGATAAAGCTGTTAAGCTTTCAGGACTAGAGAGAGGGTTTGGCAGTTAAGAGCACTTGCGGCTCTCACAGAGGACCTGGGTTTGGTTTCTAGCACTTTCATAAACGGTAGCTCACAGCCATCTGTAACTCCAGCTCCAGAGGATCCTCCACCCTCTCTGCCTCCCTGGGCATGGCATGCATATGGTGCACATACATGCATGCAGGCAAAACACTCAGACAAAATCCCCTAATGTTAAATATGTGTATTTTTAAATGATGTATTTATTTTTATTTCACATATATTGGTTTGCTTGTATGAGAGTGTTGGATCCCCTGGAACTGGAGTTACAGACAGTTGTGAGCTGTCATTGAGTGCTGGGAATTGGACCTGGGTCCTTTGGAAGAGCAGCCAGTGCTCTTAACTACTGAGCCATCGCTCCAGCTCAAATATGTGTATTTAAAAAACAACAACAACAACAAACAGGATTCTAGGGCTGTAGCTCAGGTGGAGGAGTGCCCACTGAGCTCGCACATGCCCTGGGCATGACATCCAATACTACCTGTGATAGTCCTTGCCTGTAATTCGAGCACTCGAGGTGGAGGCAAGAGGATCAGGAGCTCAGAGTTATCCTCGGCTATACTGAAAGTTAGAAGCTAGCCTGGGCTACATGACATTAACAAGCAGACATTGTCACTCAATGATAAAGCATTTGTCTAACCTGTGTGAGGCCCTGGGTTCTATCCCCAGCAATGCAAAAAACCTTTTTAAATCAATACATGTCACTATAGTTCAAAGATATCAACCAAAGCTCGGTGTGGTAGCACGGACCTAAGGAAGGATGAGGCAGAAGGACTGCCACAGGCTAGAGGCCAGTTTGATCTAGCAGCCCAAGTTGTAGAATTAAACCCTGTCAATTGTGAATCATTTGTTCATTCAACAAACATTTGCTGGCTGCCTCCCATGTACCAGTGAAGCGAGGCCCTAGACCCTGGTAAGAAATGGGAACTGGTCCCTCTGCCCTCTTGTGGTACAGAGAGGAGGCAAAGAGCAACCAATGCCTGCACAGCAGTTAGGGTGCAGAAGGAGATGACAGACAAGAGACCCTGAAGCTCAGCATGCCACTCTGGAAACAAGCAGACAGCCCTGGCCCGGAGTGGAGCCATCAAAGATGAAGACGATAATCAACTCAGCAGGCCTGGATCCTATAGGTTGGACATGCTGATAAAAGGGGCCCTCCAGCCTTGAACTATGTGCTCTACGGAGCAACTTCCTGGGGTGGGAGGGGGAGCAGGCAGCTGACAACTCACCTGTGGACCTGCTGTGCTGGAAATGACCAAGGACACCTAGGTGGAGCAGCCAGGGGAGGTGGGAGGAATGAGGATGGTGCTGGCGGGCAACACAGCTGGAAGCTGGCCTTTGAGCTCTGCTCTGACCTCCAAAAGGGTGAGGGGGCAAAACTTAGAGCCCAAGAGAAGTCCCAGAGCCTTTACATACTGCATGGGAGGGCACCGACCCCACCTGAGAAAGCGACAAGACTACCCACCCATGCTTGTTCAGAGACACACAGCCCGGGTGAGGCACAGAAGGCAGCTCCGGTCAGGGTGAGGAGGATTCCCTTGAACTTCAGATCCTCCTCCATCTACTTCTAAAGTGCTGGGATCACAGATATCTGTAACATGCCTGCTTTATCCACTGCCAGGGAAGAAGGCAGGGCATGCTAGCCAGGCACCCTACTGACGACAGAGCCAGCACCAGGTTAAGCTTCCCATATCCGCAGCTATCACGAGACCTGAAGCCCACATCACAGGCATCAATCCAGGCAAACAGATTCTGTGACTGGTCGCCCTGCCAATCATTTATGCGACCTCAAAGGTGAGTCAGGTGTATTGTTTCAAGTTCAAAGCCAGCCTGGGCTAAACAGTGAATACCAGGCTGGGCTACAGATAGTCCTTGTTGCAAAAACAAAAACAAACTCAATAAATACTTTAATGAATTTTTAAAGTATCAGGGGACTTTCCTATTGTGCGTATGTGAAAGTACACATGTTCCTGGGTGTTTGCACCCCTGTCTGCGCATCAAGACCTGAGTTCAACACCAGCTATCTTCCTCTACTGTTTTCAACTTTACTGCCTGGAGGCGAGGTCTCTCACTGAACGAGGAGAGTGTAGACTGGCTAGGTGGAGCCATCCCCGAGTCCTTGTATCCTGTTCGCACCGTTTGCCAACCCCGGAGCTGGAATTACTGGCCTATGCTGCTATACTCAGCATTTTACATGAATGTTGGGGCTCAAAGTCAGGTCCTCAAGCTTGCTCAGCACGCTCTTCACCCACTGAGTCATCTCCTCAGCCCACGAGGGGGCTGTTAACTGCAGCTTAAACACAGTGCTGCAGTCAGTTCTATCCAAAGTCATGAACCACACGTTTGCCCAGAAACCAAACCTAGTCTCAGGACAATCAAGAGGCCTGGTGGCTTATGGTGGCCTTTCCAGAGTGAAACGTCCCTGTCACGTGACCCGAGTTTAATGTTCAGAGCCTCCTGAGCCCGCCAGGTGTGGTGGCACAAGACTATAAACCCAGCCCTAGGAAGGTAGAGGCAAGAGGATCAGGAGTTCAAGGTTATCCTTGGCTACACAGTGAGTTACCAGCCTGGTCTATGTGAAATCCTGTCACAAACAGACAAAAACTGCCTAACTTAAAGAAGGCCACCACATCTGGCCTGACAGGTTCAAGGCAGCAAGCAGCCCTACTGCTTTTTTGGGTGTGCATAAGCAATTCACAAACGCAGCCTCACTGCGTCAAACCATTAAGCAGGCATTGGTGGCGGAGTTAATGAGTCAGTCTTGGCCTCCATGCCGGCTTCACAGGCTATTGCAGTCTCAGGCCATTCCCAGAAGCCACCAGGAAGTACAAATCAAATCCCAGCACATTCCACGCCCAGGAACAGCTGGAATGCAGTGATTGACAGGTGCTGGCGGGGACGCTGAGAAGACAGGGGCTTCCCCCACTGCGCTGGAGAAAGGTGAAGGGGTCAAGTTAGAAGACGGCCTGATCTCTTCACCAAAAGGCTCCTTCAAGGTGGTGTGTTCAAGGCCAGGTGGGCTACACACAAAGATCATATACCAACAAAACAAAGCATAAATGCCCAAACCGTGGAACCCAGAAGCTCCTCTCCTTGGCCAAGACAACTCAAACAAGTCCACATTAAACCTATACAGGCGTGCTCACAGCGGCCATGTTCGT